GGTTCGTTCAAAGAGCATTTAATAGCAAAATACACGTGCTTACCTTGCCGATATGAATCACAAATGTTTCCGAAAGATAAATGTTGTATTTATGCGAAAAACAAAGGAGACGTTTTTTTCTTGTAAACAATTTCAAACATTTCGTATTTGTGAGTATTTGAACAAATATTCGGAAAACATACGTTACTATACATATTTTAAAACAAATCGGATATGTCTATCATCTTTTTTTGCGAATTACAAATGCGAAATGTTTGAATTTGTTTAGAAGAAAAAACGTAAACCATCCTTTTTTGCATAAAAATAACATTTATCTTCCGGAATGGTTTGCGATTCATATCGGCGAGGTAAATTAGTGTATTTTGTTATAAAATGCCTTTTGCACTAACCCTGTATATTACTCAACAAACTAGTAGTGATGGCCGGAAAACAGATGTTTTGGAATAAACAATTAGAACGTCTCAAAAGCTACTTGACCAACCTACGCCAATTTTGCTGTAGTTATTTACAAGCATGAATCCTACGAATTTGAAGAATTTCAAATATCTGCGAGAAACCACCGGTCGCATTGCCAACAAGTGCCAAAACCTGCAGTTTGCTTCGGTTCTCGGTCATAACTTTTTTGCTATTAGTCGGATGTTTTTACGTTGGTCTCATTTTGTAGGTCTCATAAATACCTAAAAATCTTATATAAAGAGTTTTGTCGTGCCTACCAACACTTTCGATTGAATCACAAAAAACACGTCTTCTAATTCTTTGTCGAATAAAAAGTTTTCCCGCAAAAATTGGTGTACCCATTTTATGCGTCCATGTTTTGAACAACTTGCAGCAATAAACCAAACTTTACTATTATTTCGCAAACCAGGGGTATTTTCGTCTAATACGATTAGACTACTAGTGAAAGGCGGATGGCAGTAGTTGAGACAAAAATTTGTGTGTGGCAAAAAACGTAACTTTGGTTGAACCTAGAATTGCACGATTTGATTATTATCACAGTGCGAGCCGCGGTCTTGTGTGCTTGCGAACTTGCTCGACTGTGTAGTCTACTGACTCACGCAACAGAGGGTTGCTGTGCGATTCCGCTTGACTATAACGTAACTGCGCCTGATGTTTGATGTAGTCCCTTAGGTAAGGGATGTCGAGGTAGTGATGGTTGGCTAGGTTCTGTTCTGCAGACCTGGATATTACGCATATGCGTTTTGGCAAGAAAGCACCATGCTGCACATGCGTAAGTGATTGCTGGTCTGGATCTTGTATAGCCGAACTTTGATAACCAAACTTAATTTTGAGATTCTACACAGCATAGGGCAGAGGTGCCGAAACGTAATTTGGAATTTAGTTTTTAACGCTTCAGTGTGATTCTGCCAGGTCAGCCCCCTGTTAAGAGTGACACCGAGATACTGAGCAGAATTTTCCCATGGTATGCGAGCTCCATTCACTGAAACCACAGGTGGGGCGCCGCTACGTTTTTTAGTACAATAGATAGCCTGCGTTTTCGAGAAATTGATTTTGATTAGCCACCGATCTGCCCATTCCAATACCTCATCCACCGCACTTTGTAACCTGTCGTGAACCAGATTCCCGGAACGCGACTGGGCCAACAGTGCAGTGTCATCAGCATATAGATAGACTTCACAGTCGCTAAGGCAAGGGACATCATGTGTGAAAAGTGAGTAAAGGATTGGCCCTAGAACCGAACCCTGAGGGACGCCGGCTCTGATGGGCCGTACTCTCAACAAGACATTATTAATTTTGATCCGAAATTTCCTTCCTTCAAGGAAGGATTTCAAAAGTTATAGGAGCCAAAATGGAAAGTCCTGTTTGAATTAGTTTATAGAGCTGGCCCTTGTGCCACACCTTGTCAAATGCCTTCGAGACATCCAGAAGCAAGATGCCAGTACCTTCGTTAAGGGCGAAGCCCCTGGTTACTCGCTCCACAAGCCTAACCGCCTGTAACTCCGTACTATGCTCAGACCGAAAACCAAATTGCACGTCAGGAATCACATGGTGATCTGACGAGCAATTCGCAAGGTGACGTAGCGAGCTTAGGGGGGGCAGTAGGTTAATAGGACGATAGTCCTGGGGAAATATCGAACCCACCTTCTTTGGAATCATTATAGCTTCCGCAGTCTTCCACGCCAATGGAAAGTACTGGGTCCTCAGCATGGCATCGATAATAGCCAAGAGATAAGTCAGCTTCAGCGCCTTATTAGTGATTCGATCCTTCCCAGGCGCTTTACGCACCTTGAGGTCTTTAATATGACCTTGAAGCTCTTCTGGTGTGCAATGCGGGATCTCGGGAGAAGGCGCTGATGATGTGCAACTCATCAGCTGAAGAATCTTCCGAAAAAGAATCTTCTGAGGAAGAATCGCTAATGGTGGCGCCGGGATCACTGACGGCGTTGGACCTGAAATATCTCCTGACGGTTGTTACAATTTGTTGCTCCTCGTCGAGGTCGTTCTCAAGATCATAGTTGGAAGAGAACTGTCGTTCATAGCAACAGCGAAAACCTCGACCTTGTCCTATGTCCTGAAGTCTATGCCCCCAGGACCGCGTGGATGTGCGGGGGTACTTGAGTCAAGCATTCCCGCCAGAAAGCCGTTCCATTGCTCATTGCGGATTTCATGGAGAGCATTTCTTACTTCATGACCAAGATTCGTCGCTCTGCGAATGTCATCAGGATGAAAAGACCTTTTCGCTGGCTTAATTGTAGCCCTGTTGTCAGAAATGTTCTGACAAATGTCCGCAGGGAGAAAAGATTTGCCGTGTTGTTGTACAGAAAGTACAGCTGCACGCCGCAGAGCTTGCTGAACGAAGCTTGTCCGCTCCTCTTGAGCCGCATCTATACTGTTCTGACCATCTATGATCGGGATATTGGGGAACTTTTTAAGGAACAACTTAGTTCCCAATCAACCTGTTCCCTCTGCCAAGGTTTGCTCATTACCCACTTCCAGTACAACAGGCAGATGATCGCTAGAAATGTCATACATGATTCGAGAAGTGATACTGTATCTACAGTTTCTGGATATTGCAAAGTCGATGACAGCTGGTGCCTGAAGGTGATTGAATGGGTGGTGCGTGGGCTCTTCAGTACTGTGTGAGGTAGTCGTTTCGTATCACATGGTTGTACAGTCGAGTCCCACTGGTGGAATTCAACCTAGAATGCCATGCTCTGTGTTTGCAGTTGAAGTCCCGTGCTACAATAAGCGGACCAGAGTACTCCATAAGGCATTCCAGGTCCGCCTCCTGCAGCCTGGCACCACATTTGACATACACCGATGTGATCTTCAACGGGACACCTTCCGTCAAATTAGCCTTCACGGAAGCCTCCTCAATGCATTTCGGTATTTGTGCTTCTATGGTAGTCAATACCACTAGGACTGCCAAGCCGCCACCCCGTCCAGTTAATCTATCAGCATATCCCTAAGACCCAAACAATTCCAGAAAAGAATTTTGATGAATGCAGGCTGTCTACTGTTGTACCTAGCCATTTATCGGAAAGATCGCCTGCAAGGCCTGTGTAGCGCTTATCAGGGGACTAATCACCTGCTGCAAGGACCTGAGCGCTGTTGCCAGGTCCACGTTTTGAGCAGTCGAAGATGAGCTCGGGGCAGCTAGAATGTCAACCTTTGCTGCGTCTGGTAGAACTGTTGGCCAGATGGTCCCCTCCACAGTTCGCATGTTTGCACGCCTCTTGTCCTGTTTGTGGGCACAGATGTGTCATGTGGTCTTGAGCACATTTGAGACACTTTTGAGGTGCAGTGCAATACCATTGCACGTGTCCATACTTCTGACAGCGGTGACACTGCCCAATGAGTCGAGAGTTCTTTTCAATCTCAACTCTGATAGAGAGCCCCAGCAGTTGATGTTCGTTGAACACTTGCTGTGACTTCTCTGTCTTAGACAGGATCACCACCACCAAAGGCATGGGCACGCTGTGCTTCAAGCGAATTACGTGGACGCTGGAATTTCTCTAATAACAGCGTGAATGTTACGCTCAGAGGGCAGGGGAAATGTATGGTGAGGAACATTTGCCTCTTTGAAAAGACGAATTATCGTCCGATAATCGTTTTCGCTTTTAGGTACGATGCGTATCCCAGCATCAACAGCTACTGCTCCATCAATCTTAATACCAAGACTGATAAAAGAATAATTGACAGTGCGCCACTTTGCCGCATCCCGCAGCACAACAGGTGTAACACGCCCCTGACGGGGTGGTTGTGCCTGCGTGCCGAGAGTAGCATTAGATGACGGAGATGTAGTGTTGCTGCCAGCCAAGAAAGCAGCTTATGAGACTGAAATAGAGTTGCTACTTTCGTTTAAGCTAGGTGCTTGCATTTGAGAGAGCTTTGGCTGGCTTGCAGAATCAGTAGAAGAAACAGACATAGGCGGTGTTATGTCCATTGAATTGGTATTGATTGGGGAATTCTTAGTCGGAAGGGAAGGATATTCGTTAATACGTTTACGTCTCTGGATAGCGGCACCCTGTACGTCGTCTTCTGTCTCTGTAGGTGAGGTGGGGCTGTTGTGTTTTCTCTTGGGAATTTTAATAGAACTGTCATCACAGGACATGAATTTATTTAAAGAAGTACTAAAGCTAAAAATCTGGGTATTGAGATTGTCCACGCAGTGCGTGAGTCTCTTGATTTGAGCTGCCTGGTCAGCGATGATTTGGTACAGCCTCTGCCTTTCGGTGTCTCTTTCAATATCTGCAGCTGCCAAAGCCTCACTAGGGTTCGTATTCTTCAATCTCTCAGGTACGTCGCTTATTACTTCTTCTCCACTCGCTGTGATGGAGGGGTCGCCTGGTGACCCCTCGGACGTGCGTTCCATCTTATATTTGCCTTTTCTCTAAGCAAATTCTCAAAATTTTTAAGGAGCAAAAATCTAACAACTTATCTTTTTCCTGTCTACAGGGCGATCTTTTAGAACTTGATGTAACATACTATAGTTTATCAAGAATCTTTATGGTTTTGACATGATATTTTGTACTCGACAGATCTTTATCCCCTAACGCAGTAGACCCCTCGAACTTCTCCCGCAGTGCCAGCCACTCCAGCTTCGATACTCATTCGTTACCACGGAGAGGGGCAGGCGCTCAAGGGCCCGGTGGTAATAAAAGTCGGACGCCTATCGAAGAAGAAGCCAAAATGCCTTTTACATCAAGATCGATGGCCGAACATGAGTGGGAAAAGTTGCAACAGGCGCACGTTCTTGCTAATGTACAGCAGGCGTTTGATGTGTCCAGCGATGCCGAAGGTACACGAATAATAGGCTTTAGTGATTTTAATTTGCTCTTAAAATATTTCAATCATTTACTTTTCATTCACATCATACTCTATCAGCAACATCTTTCTTGGGATTAAACAAGAATTCGAGAGACTTCCTATAGGGTGTTCTTAAAGTTTGTGCTCTCCTTTATACAACATATGTATTTATATTTCATGTAAAAATAGCGTTGCAAGATGGCCATGTTTGCTCGATTCAAGCGAGCAAGGTTAGCCTACCTAGACGAATGAAATATTTCGTGTCACATTCCTACCCTACAATTTTCGTTTTGGTTTTTTACCCTTCAGAACACATGGTTTCAATATCCAAAACGCGGTTCAATCGCCGACCATTTACCATCAAAACACAATAATTCTAAATATCTCTAAACAATTAAATATAACCACACAAACCACGGGGCCGGCCTAGGGACATTTGCATGCGTTGGTAACTTGTATTAAGAATTCCACCAGAATTGCAGACAAACTTGCATGAAAGATCCAATTTTCATGCAAAACTCCGGCAGCTACAAGAAAACGGCATGAAGAATCAGCTGTTTTGTTAGTGCGCATGCGCCTTTTCAACATTTTCGTGCTCTTGATGACTATAAAACATGTATTAGTAAAGCCCTCTCCAGACTCATGTGCGGATCGCGCGCGAAGCTGCGAACAACCCGCGACCCATGAGTGTGGTTCCCATTTGCGTATTCTTCACGGCTTCACGTCGCTGGTAGCTCAGTTACCTCATAGCGAGTGCCGGAAGTGGTTGCGTTTGTTCCACTTCCTTTTAGTTGTTTTAGTTTTACTTATATCTGCGTAATTATAAATTCCCAAATCACAAAGTATCCCCGCAGCTGCAGTAACAATTTCACCGTCCATACTCGTCAAGAGCAGGCTGGAACATCTGCGACTGTGGAACTGCAGAGGAGTTTTTGGGATTCGCACCGCCTTTATTCGCGCGTGAGTCTGGAGAGGGTATTACACATACACCAAAGGTTTAATAGTTCCGAAAAAACGTACGATATCAAATTAGGCATAGCAAAAAATACGACGACGTTGCGAGACCTTTAGGTAAACCGGGCTGTTTGTTTATAAATTTCATTTGAAAAAAACGATAATTTCACATTCATATTGCAATAGCTAATTTCTTCGCGAGTGATCGTTTTCCTGGACGTTTATATCTTGGGTCACGTATATTTGTTTATTTCCTAGAAAGGCGGTTTGTAGAAACGTCAAGGTGGGCAGTTGGAAGACATAGACAGAAAAGAATGTTACATTTTACAAAAACAAATTAGGCGGAAATTAATAAACTTTGGTTTTTGAATTGAACAGCAACATATTCTAACAGTATTTAAAAACAACTTGATACTTTTGTTTTGTTCGCTGCTATTTCACCGTACATTAACTTTGTTCTTTCAAACGAAGCTGTTTCTGCAAAGGAAAGCCCTTACTTTCTGAACACCCTCTATTTTGAGGTACCTTGTAGATTTAATGTTATTCATGTTATGTATTTACATAGGAGATGACAATGAGAGCATCTTCAGTACTCAGGATATCCTTTCGCCAAGTGGACATACCGATGCTCAAACATTGGCAATGATGCTTCAAGAACAACTGGATGCCATCAATAATGAGATCAGGCTCATCCAAGAAGAAAAACAGAACACAGAAGCAAGGGCAGAAGAACTAGAATCAAGAGTGAGTATACCTTATAGAAGCATTTGTTAGTTTCAACTTAAACTTTTTACCACCACTTTCTAAGCCTGATAAACCAACTCGCTAGGTTGTTGCTTCACACTTTAGCTTGTTCATCCTTCTGTTGACTAAAACTGCTGTTTTCACTTTTCGAAGAAGTATCCGTTGACGTTAGCTGTCAGGCTATAGATTGTAAATGTTTTACGATCAACTTAATTGAGTTACTGATATTCCTAATTTTACTGTTCACCGTTTCTTCGAGACCACATGTATTGTTCCTTATGACAGGTGGGTAGTATGGAGCATATGAACCTGCTAGCAAGAGGCAGAAGTCTGGAGAGACAAAGTCCGCCTGTAAGTGGAAGATCGACGCCAAAATCACATCATTCTCCGCAAAGGGACTATCTGCACAAGTATCATACGGTGAGAGCATTTATAAGTATTCTAGTATATGTTCCCATGGGATTTCGTGCAAGATTGTTTTCTTATCTAATCGTTGTTTAACAAACTACTATGGTCACTGCCGTGTGAAGATGTATAAGTTGTGATCTGTAGCAGCTGCCTCTACCTAACTGGTAGTATGCTTACAGAGACACACACTCGTAAATTCAACATTCATGCTTAAATTTGTTGTACATTCACGTACATATATACCTATACTTTTTTAATGGTTAGTTAACTAACTTTCGGTTTTAGTTTGAATACTTAGCCTTGACCTGTTTCTTTTTTTTTAATTTATTGCAATCTGTCAATTTATCAGGACATGAAAGCAATGATGCAGTGATACATCCTGATTCTGTAGTTGCAAAATTCAAAACTAATTCTATTGATCTGCATTTAAAATGGTAGACCATATTTTAGATGGCCATAATAGTTTTTCCTGATACTGTAAGGCTTTTTAACAACATATAAAATTTTGCTGGACACAAATGTACAAATGCTAAATCATTTTAATTTGATTGTGCCAAATCCTTACGGTTTTCGATTTTTTAGCATGCACTCATTAACTCTTTTTTGCACTTATTGTTCTGGTTAGTATGTGGTTGGATCATGACAAAACAGGTGTTTAAAAACTAACTATACAATTAAACTCTATGATATATACTAACGATATTTTTCAACAGATTAACAGTGTAGATCTATCTTATTGATTTAAATAATCTCTAAACATTTACGAAAGCAGAAATATTTTAGTTATTATCATCAGAACAGAACACCCGAAAATTTTCCACGATCTATATTTTTGTATCTAGGAGTTCATTAAGAAAGCTCCACCTTTCAACTCGATAGCTTTTTTCTGCAAAGTTCGGCTTTTCGTCAACTGGCGAGGAAGTATTGTAATCGCAAAAATTTCGAAAATGGCATTGTGTTTTTTGGATGTTATATGACATGTACATCTCGAAAAACCATGTCACTCATTTCCATCGGCCTGTCTGTCTGTCATTGGCCCGTATATAACCTGGAAAGTACCGTTCGGATTTGGATGAAATTTTGATATAAGGTTACTACTATACTTTGCTAAAGACGAAAGAGCTTTGTAGTTTTTGCAAATCGGTCCAGTGGCGGCGGAGAAAAAGAGCAAAAACGAAAAAATGAAAATCGTGTTTCAGAGGATCCTGATAAATTTTAGAATAACTTTTGTAGGGAATTAAAATTGGGGGTTAGTGGTTGCAGAAGGTGGGGGAGGCTATATCTCAATTTTCCAACGTTGGTATATTTATACTCCTCCACCCGCAGTAATTCTAGGCATTTATAAGCCATATTTCACTCATGGTAGGTGTCCCCGTACATTTACCCTTAATTATTCACGAATTATTTACGAACTGAAGACAGCATTGCGTGGGAAGTACATAATCGACTTATTTGACGCCATTTTTTTCCATTTGCGCGCAGTTGTGATGCCTAATTCTAGTAGTCAAGTAAAGGATAACATTCGGCACAACTGATCCCTCTGTTAGCTACAGACATGTATAACAAAAAAAAACACCTATATAATTACGTCTATACTCCATAGTCCCCAACCATTTGATAAAGGTAACACTAGATTCTACTCTACCCTAAGTATCGACCATCTAGCGCCGGTGCTGAACCATAACAGTCAACCATGACATAAACGCCAGTCACGATCCTATATTTTTAAACTATGGACGCCGCCGATGAAGTCAGGCGCATACAGAGTCTCGCGTGTAAAGGTTCCATCTTCACGACCTACCGCGTGTCACGTTTGTAAATATTTCTCCGAGTTTTAAGGTTAAATTTACCGAGAAACCTATGATATGTGAAATATATACAGGGTGCGGCAGAGAGGATAGACGGTTTTAAAAAAATCATAAAATAGTTAATTTTTACTCGAAAACAAATTTATTGGTGGAATCAGGTTCACAAGGAAATAGCATTTAAGACAGTCAAGTGTGGAAAATCACGTCAGGCATGTGGTGGCCGAAATCGCTGATGCAATGCTGGATGCGTTCTTGGAAGTTCGCGTAGACTCTCTCCAACATCGCTCTCTGAACTTGGGCGACTTCCACGCGAATTTCGCCCTTCAATTCGTCCAGAGTTCGGGGTTTCTGGCTTGTGAAAGTGGGCTTCGTCACTCATAAACAAAATGAGGTTCTCATTTTGATCAATCAGTGCTTCCATCTTACGTGCGAAGTTAATTCGTTGTGCATAATCTCCGGGCTGTAACTGTTGCACAATGGCCAATTTGTAGGGGTGAAAGCGGAGATCCATATGCAAAATTCGCCTTACCGAACGATCACTAAGGCGAAGTGCAGCAGCATGTTTCCGGGCAGATCGAGTCGGACTGCGAAGAAAGACCTGTCGAACGCGTTCAACATTTTCAGGAGTTCGAACTGTTCGCGGCGCTCCTCTTGGTCTTCTGTTGATCAGTTCACCACGCCTGAGAAGTGATTCAGCCCTACGAAGGATGGTGTTTCGAGAGGGAACAGCTCTATTCCGATGAATGTTGAAGTGGCGACGAAACTCACGCTGTACGACGATCACTGACTCATTATTTCGGACGAAACAATCATTTGCGAAAACGCGGTGCTCCACCGTCCAAGGGTCCATCACGACAACTGGTAAAATAATGCTAGGATCTCACGAGTCAAACGGCACCCTCCCCACCTCTTTGGTAGACGGGGGCGGAGAGTACTACCCATCCCCAAAACGTCCGGCCTCTCTGTCGCACCTTGCACTAATAGGTGCGCAAAATTACCGGGGTTAGAAGGTACGAGTATAAGTATACTGCAGCCAAAAAAATCAGATAAACCCATCCCCACTCTCTACAACCCCCAAATTCCGATTTTTAACACGTAATTTCCTGAAAATGATCAAAAGCCTCTGAAACGTCAAAGAACGATTTCGTTTTTTTTTCTTACTTGCCCTTCACCCCGTTGTCATGTAACATTCAAAACACCTAATATCTCAGTTTCGATTACAATACTTCCTAGGTTTTGGAAGTAAGATCGTTGCAAATATAAATGTCACTTAATTTCGACTAACACAACTACAACATTAGCAAGATATTTGTCATGTCCCAAGTACCTACGTCATGTTGTGTTTCACATAAAGCCAACCATAAAGGAACAACCCAACGATAATAAAAAAATTGCGTCTGGTGTGTGAAAGGTACGTTTCCATTACGAAAAATTTGTTCCGCAAGTGTATGCTAGACTGAAAATAGTTTGCATCATGTTGCGGAACAAGTGCTGGGAGCATAACGCTTCAAATGCGGCACGTAACATTTCCCGCAACTGGTTAGAATGGAAACGTCCTTGAACGATGCTGTGTGTGATGTTGTAGGCTCCGGCTAGCATGTCTCCGGCCCATTTGCAACAATATCACGCGTCCTTCAGTCCCGGCTCCTTGTCGGAATCATTGCCGTCTAGTCAGGTTTGTCAAAGAATATCAATCTCAACACATTCTATCTGCTGCCGGGCAGGTTTATCATTACAGCTATCTGACTTCAACATTAGGCACGTCAAGAAATAAGTTTATATTTGAGAATTCTTATAATTTCCCCTGACTGGCATTTATACATATTCATGCTTCCGTCCTGTCACTTTCAATGGTTTGGTCATGATACCTCAGTATATCCTAGGATCGGATCCTATAACACTTTACGTAGTCTCTTAAAACCATGGTCAAAATACGATTCATGTAAAATAATTATAAAAACTCTAATTAGCATGACCTGTCAGCAGTGTATCGCAATTATGTTTTATAACTTTAAATGCAGTTTTTTTGATACAATTTTGACTGACTTTTCTATTAAAAAATATCTGTCGACAATGAAAAAGAACATTTTATCGGTCACGTTACCATGGGACAGCCTTAAGAGTCAATCACACTTACAGAAAAAGTATTCTGCTTCAAAGTTATCGATAGTTGCATTCATGAATTGCGACTATATTGCTGCTTTTTGGTCAACTTACTTCAGGCAGCTAACATTTTATGCGAAACACAAGTTACATCATAGCCTTGCGGACCAAGCTAACGATGTATTGCTTTCTTGTAAGCATTTATTCTCAAATCAAGTCAGTTAGCTGATACAATTTGATAAACTAGCCATCAGTCATATGTATCCATACCGAGGTGAAAATTGCATCTAGTCTATGATAAGTTCAAATAATGCGGATTCTAATAAATGCCTATTTAACGTTTGAAATCACAACAAATGTGAGTATTTTGAAGCACAGATTATTTGCCCTAATATTTCGGCTATCATTCTAGATGCAGGCCTAACCCCACGTTGTTGGCTTTGACACACATCACACCACACTAGTTATTTCCCTCTCACTTACTAGCTGCATGTTAGATTGTTTTCAATCCAGTCAAAATAGACATATTATCAATTAAATGACCTCAACAAGTGCTGAAATGTATACTTAACGTATATGAAAATGAATGCCTTAATTCCTGTCTATTTGGACTGGTCTGTTTTTATATCTTGACGTCTTCTCCTAGTCCTAATATTTAATGAAATAATCAGCTCCAGTTGGCCCCACTGTCATCCGAAATGTCAAGAGAAGAGATGCACATGGGTGACAGCAGCAGTGGTGGCGGTGCATCTCCTTTGACAGCGAGATCTTTGAGGTTAGAACGGGTTGCACAGGCATTGGCTCACAGTCAAGAGGAACTCAGAAGGTATGTCGAAGTCCTTAGCCATAATGGAGATATCACTAAAATCTAAGGCAAATAAAGTCCTAACAATGCAACAATCACCAAAACTGTTAAAATAAATCTCAAGTCGATGCTGGTAATCGACATACTAATTACTATACCACGGATCATGATTGATACAGTTGCATCTTACTCCTTTAAGTAAATATATACATTGTTCATGTCAAGAGGTTACACATTTGGCAACGTTATTGAACACAGTATAGCGGATATAAAACTTATACTAAATTGTGACTACTAGATTATGACTACAAAGTTTTAGCAAAAAAAGGCAATGACTAAGGTGATAGAATAAAATGAGTGTTTATAATGAGAATATTACATTAACATGAACATAATTAAAATCACATATCATTTGGATTTAAAATATAAAGTCCGTAAATTCTTAATACTTCCTAATGCTGTTTTTCACAAAATGTTTTTTCTTTTTTCGATTTGATTTAAGTAGCTTGGGCAGTTTTCGTTAGATACATCATAGATATCGAAATATTTGGGATCTTTAATACGTTATTAGCATACTTGCAATTACTACAACATCATTGCACTTCTCAGCCAGAGGTCCCAATCGAGAAAAATTGTAGAATTTATCACTATTCTATCATAAATAAATTGACCGTTTTTCATATCTAATAAGTATTTACTCATTTTCTTTATAAGATAGAGTTCTATTGTCATACCACATTCTTCGTTTCTACTTTCACTAGTCTTGTATTTATGAATAACTTTCACATCACTACTTCTTAATTCTTCAGGAATATTTTGCCTCGCAAACATCAACTATATTTATTTTCGGTTTATTGTTCTGTTACTTTCATACTCTTCTAATGTTAGTTCCGCTCTATTGTTCAATTTTGCTAATGATTTTTCGTCGTCTACGTGAATGACTAAACATCCTTGTTTTGCTTGTCTTATTTTATTAACAGATATTCCTATGTCTACAACATTTTCTGTTTTAATGCTACTTTTGATTTATCTACCAATGACTCAACTTTATTTTTTCTCACATCTGACCACAACATATCTCCCACATATTTTTTCCTTTCCATGAATTCTACTAATTTTGTTGATTCCTCCAGTAATTGATCAGTTTTCTTTTCAGTTTCTGCGTTTTGATTAAAATGTCTCGCTTTTAGACTTGTACTTAATTAAAAAAATCTTTAGTTATGATAAAATAAATCGTTACATTAGGGCTCACCTACTGCATACTAATAACGTTGGGTAACTGATATATTGAAGGGAACGAAGTGTATGTTACAGTTAAAATCGTATCCATCAAACGATTGTAATTTAGGGTCACTTTGTGCTACCTACACTCCAAAGTGCACGTTAGGTTCATAGCGATACCAAAAGAATTACAATCGTTCACTAGTACTCTTTCCTTCCATTTTCTCTTCCACTGAGATTCTCACTTTCTTTCTTCGCCATGCTAGACGTACGGGAGGAGGAGGAATACCTCCAGGAGTGTCTTACAGGTTATTAATGCTGTTATGTGTTTCTGTTTACTATTTTTCATACAAAAAAACATAGTTTCTTCTCCCAGTGTCTGATATGCTGATATGTGCTTTTAGTTTCCTCGGATTCTTGGGATATATAGGTGCTATTATGTTTTCACCGTTTTGGCCTTTATTTTTCGCTTTCTTCAGGGCTATCGAATGAGACACAATACACGTTCCAAGGGATAACAAACATTCTTTAGGCCAGCTATGAAAACAAACTAATGAATATAACATAAAAACAAAAACCAAGTAATGCCATCTCAGATTATAACCCAAGAATGTGAAAAAAATAAAAGTACACACTGTTTTTCATGAAAATCGTACATTAGTTGCTATACAGCCATTAACTTCAACAGGTTGAGCAAGTAAAATAGAACTGTGTACTACGATCATAGCAAATTGGTTTGACGAACTTCGTTTAGATATCTGTAAAAATATTTCATTTCCCGGAAAACCACACTGCTAGACAAAAAAACAGTCTAAAAGTGATTTTTAGGCTTAATGTAGAATCCGTAAATCTGCCATGTATAATAATGAAAAAATAAATATTACGATTTTCATGAGCACTACTTATCATTTTGCTATTCTTAAGGGTGAGTTCAATATCCCTCAATTATAACTTTTTTGAATCACTGATGGTATAAATATGACGTAGTAAAGAACAACATTATTGAACTCAACCTTCAAAATCATTAGCGGCTTTTACTTTGAGTTATTACTCATAAAAACTATACATATAGAATTACTGATGAACGAAAAAATTCATGAATATTTGATAGTACGAAGCTGAAAGTATCATGGCACACTTTAGCGGACTTCTTGTAATATTTAGCAAGAATTATTATATTCGAAACTAGCTGTGCATGTTATTAGTTTCTGAATCAGAATCATATCGGAATCAACTAAATTGTGTTCGAGTATCAGCCGCTATGGATTAAATGCATGCATGACAGGTTTGCTCTGTATATAGAACATAGATCAGTGGTTCCCAACTACAAGAAACCAACCGGGGCCATTCTGGCATTTTTGATAAGCCGTCGGTATCAATAAAAACAATTTAAAGATGTATAGCCACCAAGTTGTGTCTAGTTATCAAGAGTAGTTATTCCAAGAGACGACAGATAGAAAAGGCGAATAAATTAGAGAGAGCTGATGGCGTCTAATCACGAACTGTTTTTGTGTGGCCAGAGAGAAGTGCTGTGTTGCCAAATAGATAATTATTTTTGCACGAATTAATTGTGCATCACACGTAGTGAAAGCATTTTTTGTTCAAATTTACTTTTGTCGGGACATTTATTTTTGGCGGTGATATTTTTCATCCGTTTGCAGCATGCGAAATATATTTTGATTCAAGAAAGTTATAAATCACACTTTTTCGCAAATGCTCTCCACGTCATCTAAACAGAAGTTATTATCAAGACCTGAAGGTTATCACATAGCTATTTAACTTTTAGGGCTCTAAGCGGAATACTACACGATGTAGTTTAGTAACGAAAGAGGAATGTCAGCTTGAAATTCAACTTTTTTCTAACCTAAATGTGCTTGTTTGTCTAATCGTCGCTATATTTGACGTAGTTGCCAGTTATCTAGACAGTCTGGCCTTGAGATTTATTTCGTATGACGTAACCACCAACAACCGTGAAAAGAACCGAACGCCATTTAGCGCTCAGTTGTAAATGTAGCATTTTCTAAGCATTTATATCGCGGATCCTTGGCGGAATGTTGAGCCATCTATGAGCGAATCGTCTAATCAAAGATCGGTGTTTTTCTGTTTGTAAACCGGTAATATTATAAGTGCCGACCGCAAAGTTTTGGTTACATGGCGTACTGCTATGACATGTTAAAAACCAATCAAATCTTGCGTATTTTGATGCTAAACAGCAAACTCCGGCAAGCTTGCATATCAGGACGCAGTACGCAAACATTTGCAGTCGGCTCCCCTACTATGATGGAGCCGACTGGAGGATTAAAAAGACATTTGATAAAGCGTCTTATTTTGATATAACTACTCTTTGATTTTACTATACAAGAAGGATGTTAGACAATGACTTGTATGCCCGGTGTGGTATTTTTTTTCTCAAAAACGCATATGCGAGGCCATTACTAACGTCCCATAGAATGCCTTTAATGTGAGATTCATAGAAACCTCGACATTATTGACACAAGATACTATAGCATATAGATATATATATATATATATATATATATATATATATATATATATATATATATATATATATATAGCAACTTTATCATCAAGGGAAATTCCAAGTTCTCTGCAATTCGTACAATTTTTGTACCAATCAGAATTGGATGTTTTAACTGTAAACCTCAAAATCGGATGTTTTGATCAATTTAAAGATTCCTGAATTCTTGTTAACAATGCCAAGGAACCTTTGTAACATGAACATTTACCTTTTTCTTCCTTTTTTTTCTGTCTGTTTATCTGACATGATATCTGGACAGCTAGACCCAAACGGGCCGACTGTTTGACAAAGCTAGATCTAATATTAAAATTCCTGCAGATCTCTTTGGTAATGATGCCTAGCAGAAAAAATCACTTAGTGCCATAGAAACCACGAATGAGGCAGATTTTATTCTCAATTCTTATTGCTCATTCTTGTAAATAAACAGGAGAATGTCCACGATATCCGTGGAAAACCTTATTTTCAAACACAAGGGAAACTCAAAAATCAGTCTTCCAGTGTCAAATTTGTTGATATTCTTTACGTACAATATTTTTCAGGTATATTTAGATTTTTAGTAGCACTTTGAATATTTTATCACGAAACCGATAGGACACACTGTGCTTGATAGAATATTTTCTACCAAAATGTTTTTACATGAATACATGATGGTCCAACTAAAATGGAAAATAGTATATAAAAACTACGAAAGATATTGTAAAACGGTTCTCGCAGCAGGTTTGATACCTTAGAGATCCGTACTTTGCAAAATACTTTGAAATATACAAGATACTTGACACAACGTTTTGTTAAATATTCGGAAAGGCCTTTCCATAGTCGGGCACCAAAACAAAAGAGAGCAGCAGAATATGTTGCACGCCAGAGCAAGTACGGCCTTTTCTTCAATACTGTGGAATACTCATGCTACGACTTCGATTTCAAAGGACGTCGCGCCTGTAATAGCGGGCGATGTGTTTTGCTGCTCTCTTCTTTTCGGGAACCAGAGTTTAAAATAAGAGAGTTGATATAATACGCAATTGGGCTTTTTACACCGAAGCAGATGCGCAGGCAGAAACCTAAATGCCAGTGCGATTTTTGTACTGCCTAAGGTTAGGAAAACTGTAGATTGTTCCACAATCTCGATACCGTAGGCATGGAGGATCGGTCGTATTGACGAGTTCTGGATGCACGAAGTTTGATACGGTTATGATACGAGGCCAAGGTCAGGTGGATCTGTCTAGCAGGCACGTCGCACGGCGACATTGTGGAGTCCGGGTCCGGGTCCGTTGAGGAGGTCATGGATCAGTCGGATAGCCCTTCTCTGAACAGCATCGAGCATGGATAATGTATTCGGGGCGGCAGCACCCCAAACATGTGAGCAGTACTCGAGGCTAGGTCTTATCTGGTCCTGGTAAAGTTACTAGGTCATACGGAGAAAAATAATTCTTAGTCCTGAACAAATAGCCTAGCTTTTTCGGAGCAGCTGCCGCTATTGGCGAGATGTATTCGTAGCCGATCAAGTCATCTGGACTCCGACTAGCCGAAATTGTCTTTGGTAGAACTCGGCCATCCATTGACTCTGGATGAGCGCTAGAACGCTTCTTATTCTTTAAGGTACCGTACTGTGTTTTGGAAGCATTAAACTGTACAAGATTGTTACGTTTCCAAGCTGTAATAACCTTCAAGTGTCTCGTCAGAGAGGAAGTCTTCTTTTCTCGACCTCTCGGGTAGAGATCGGCTTGTCACTCTGAATTCTTGCGTAGGTGTGAATTGAATGGATCGTGCAAAAAGGGAGGTCGTTGATATATAAGAGAAACAATGTCAGAGCCAAGATCGATCTCTGGGGAACACCCACGTTGACGTTGTGGTATGAAGAGGAGAGCCCGTCAATTACGATGGATACCTTGCAGCCAGAGAGAAAACCAGCCACTCATCTGGAAAGCTTCTCTGAAAGGCCATAGGACGGAAGTTTGCATAAGAGAGCGGCATGCTACCGCTAATCGAACGCTTTCGTGTTATCAAGAGCAACGATATCAGCCTCACCGTAAAACTGGATTAGTTTCGCCATTCAGTTATTTGCTCATTAATCTGAAAGATTGTCTATCTTTGATGGCTTCATACTCCGCCATTTTGCATCGGTTTTTTTTATTAAATTTTGGACATCAAGCTCGATTATGAAATGTACCAAAAGCATAAATTTTGTATGATCTAGTAAAGTCAAAAATCATTAGGATCCATTGCTTCCATTTTTAACGGAAAACGTATTCGCCGTGAAATCACGAATAGTATCTCGCTTGATACGATGAAAAAAGCCACTCCTATAACAAAATGCAAGCACGTACTGATATACATGTAGCATGAAAATCGAACAGTAATGGCCTAGTGCACTAGTTTTAGCACGAATGTCGAATATGCCAATAGTGCACTATATGCTGCACTGAAATCGCTATAAAACCACTAGAATTTCAAATAATCCTTATCCTGTTGATTAAATACTTGTAAACAAAGGATGAGTTTGGGACCACTGAGTTATAGAGCTCGATAGAGATAGACGTGTAGCTTTAGCGGTAGATCGGCACTTAGTGTGTTTAGGCATCAAGGCGGGCTGACCCCATCACCATTGTCCTCTCGTCACAGCAGCCAGGAGAGTTTGCACAAGAACGCGATGGGCGCCATGGGCATGGGCGCCGGCGGCCTCCCGAGAGACGTTTCAGCAGCTGCGGCCGCAGCAGCAGCGGCGGCGGCTGCGCAGAAGAAGAAGGGCATCAAGTCATCACTAGGAAGGTTTTTCAGTAAAAAAGAGAAGGTACGTTCACTGGTATTCTGTCCAATTATTCAGATATTCCTCGTCAAGTATTTTTCCCGAAACTGCTCTACTAATGTAACACCTGAAACTTATCATATAGCTTTCATGGTGATACGACATATGTGCTTTGATTTCGCGACCAGACAGTGGAGCCCTAATACAGTTAGTGTTCAGCTACTATGTTGTCATTTATTAGACTCTCTTCTGTACAATGGCCGGCTGACAAAGTGAATGACATATAAAATGCTAGAATAAAAATGTCAACTGAGCTTATCAAGTCTACACTCCTGGTTCCATTACCGTGACTTGTTGAGCATTCGTTTACTGGTTTCTGGTTGTACTTTTCCATATTTATGCGATGCTACCGCTCCAAGCGGCCGTTGTACATGGGCATTTGAAGTTTGCTGATTGTATTTATGAGCAATGAGAAATAAATGCAAAACAATCAAAAAACACTTTCAGCAATAACAGCTAATTTCACACTGATGCCTTACTAAATAAAAGTAAAATTCCACATTTTGGGTTGAGAAAACTCATACTTGATTAAAAAAAGCCTTGGCGGGTATTTGCCATATGTGTTTCTTTATGCATAATTCCCAACTATAGTACGGAAATCTCAAATCGAAAGTGCGCGAGACAGCAGCTCAGGAATGTGTCAGTGTCGCCCGAATGTAGCGCGAAGTGTCGATATTTCATGTTTGTACAATCCAACCCATGTTTCAAAACTTTGCAAAATACTTGATGGCGCGTTCTATTATAGTTTGAAATATTATGCTCCTACTAATAAATACAGCCTGCAGTTTAAAACACTCCTACAACTCCTCGAAGTTCTGAAAATAGTTGGGGTATAATGAAGGCTCTGAAATGTTAACAGGTTTATAATTTACCTAACCCCATTTTTTTTAAATTTATCTCCATGATTTTGATTTAATTTAATTTTATGACTATTCTGGGAAATGAGTGTGGCAAAAAACAGTTATAAAGGACTTTTTAGGATTAATATGGTATTTGAGTTTTTAAAGGTTGAAATAATGGGAAAAGCCTGTAAAACTGTTCTTGATTTATGTTGTTTTAGCAAGAAGTATGTTAGGTGATATAAAATTTAAGCAAAAGAATAATATTAATCATATTTTTTATTGCTTGTTATTGAAAATTTTAATACCTTCCTAGTGCATAGGGGAAACTCGGGCAAAGCAAATACCCCAAGAAAATCGAATTTCCTGCTTTACATCCAAACAATGAATCGATCACCTTGAAAAAGTATCTACATTCGTTCAGCCTCCTTCAGTAATCGGGAATCAGGAAAGGCCACGAGCAAAAAAACGATTTTGCAAGGTAGACGTGCTTGCAATTCCATTTCTATACTATCTATACGAACAGCGATGCTAAATATTTAGCGTATATTGATAGTTCTTTCACAGTCATACCGATGAGGAGGTCTGAGTGTATCGTTTTGATAGGAATCAAGAGGGCAAAGTGGATACTGTCTTTGCCCGTAACTTTGTTTTGACAAGCTTGACTTATTTTGTTTTTGCAATGAACATGTATTATGCGGTATCATGTGAATGAAAGAATTGTAGTAACTTACGTGGATTATGCCTAAAATACTCGTTTACATTTAAGGAAGCAAAAGAAGAATCTGGAAAAAATAGGTCTCAAGTGGTTTTAGAAATCATCGACTGAGTTATACAGATAACTGCTTAATACATCATATCAAAATTTCAGGTGAAAGGAAAAGAAGTGACTGACAGCAACCTTACTTTGAGTCAGAGTAGCATCGGCGGACTGCCGGACGGGGAACTAAGTGATTCGATGAGCATATCAGGGAAGATGGGGCAGAAGGGAGACTTTGATAGAAGACAAAAGAAGAAGTGGGTATATTTATTACTTTTATTCAAAATACCATTCACTCAACCTGCTGTGGTTTCTAAACGCATTCTCTCATCTTTATTGAACCAATTTTATAAGCAAGGCTTGGATTGCAAGCAATAGATTTAACACGTTCAGTGCGAACAGCGTCAAAAGACGCCCTCCGCTCCTGTGGTGGGAGGCGAACGGCGTCTTTCGACGCTCTCTGCCGGCTTCCAAATAAAGGAAAAAAGTATTTCAGTTTCTGAGGTGGGTATCCTCATCCCAGTTCGCAGTCAATGTGTTAAAAAGGTGGACTAGTTTTTCAGGTAGATCATACTAATTTCAAAAACTGAACATACACCTATTTTGATATTATATTAATGGTAGATAAGCGTACACAAAGCAGCTTACAATCTATTGCTTACAATCTGGATTATGCTTGTAGACATCTGCTAAAATCTGTACTAACATAATTTCGAATTTTTACTCTATTGCTATGGGCTTGGCGATGCTTCGTACATTTCCCACTTATTGTATTTGTGGAATTCATAACAATAAATACATAATATTCCTCCATAACATAGTCATGCATTAGTCTAGTATTATTTTCTTTTGAATGGACGTAACAATATTTAAGGTTCCACACTTTTTTTCAAGTCTTAAATTTGTCACATTCAACACAGTACAACACGCATTGTGTGAATACGTGGACATCTATCAAAACCATAATACTCAACTCAAATTAAGAAAGGTCTCTACTTGAAAAAAAATTGTTTATAATGCTTAAAACACTCCCTGAAAACTCAGTTATTTTGGAATATGGTGCTGCCTTGCCCTCGTCCGACCAGCACAAGACCAACCGTGTACAGCGCCATTTCATGCTTATTGGCAATTATCAACATGGTCTAGGCCTTAAACAATGGAAGTAAAGTACCTATTGAAATACTATATCAACTACTACCAGAATCTACCACTGCGAAAGTGAACTGCAGTTATCTATTGGAAACGTGTGCATCTCAGTTCGTGTCCAAAGTTGCAATAAGTATGTGGCCTTACTAAGTAATACTAGCCGCAAGATGTGAATTGTCATCCCGTGTTGGGTGAAACGATGTAGAAATCTCCAAATTTAAATTCTAGACGACACAGGAAAGAACTAACACCTGCCATTGACAGGCACGATCTAAGCACAGTATAACTAATGGATCTTCTAAACGCGCAATATTTTTGTTGCAATATTTGGCTATAGCTATGCCAACTATAGCCCAGCTATAATGAGCATATTGTAGCATATGGCATATCTCTATCAGCTATGTATGTCTCGGCTATATTTTAGCAATATTTTCTACAATGTGTAGGCATGTACTTTTTTCAGAAATTTTCATCAGAAGAGATTCCGACAGTCCAGCAATCTGACATCAATATATGAAAATAGGTCTGCAATGTCAAACACATGTATCAATACAGTCGGGCGATAATAAAAATATTGTCTGATGCTGGCTACTCTATTGCAGTTATATAATGTAGTAAAAATTTTGCCCGTTTAGAGGCTCCATAAAACCTAAGCTTACCACAAACAACACAAAATGCTTACACGCGAAGCTTTACTGGGCTTTGTTTGACTTAAATCACATATCAACTTAAATTATTTATCAACACCACCTCGAGAACCAACGAAAGTTGTGACAATATCAGCCCAATTGGCATTAAATTGAAAATTGGAAATTATTGTACATTAGGAATTACAGAAGTGGTATTAACTTGTATAAACTTCATACTTGCAACACTCTATTGGTAGTCTTACATGAGCTTCATATATACAGGGTGTCCTTAAAGTTGGAACTTTCTCTTATAGTTAGTTCATGTAACAGTAATCAATTTTTCCTAAACATAAGTATATTCGCCCAGCAAAGATGTAAATATTTCATTATCATCATTTGTCAGATCAAAAGAGATGGTTTAGTTTTAAATTAAAATTGTTCAACATCTCAAATAGACTAAACATTCGTCATTTTCGTTAATAACCGTTAATTGTATGTTACACGTATCAATCACAGATAGTTGGCGCTATCATCGCACACCCAGCGAATACCAAGGCCTTAAAGATAAGTTACAAACAAATTTGAATGGGCTAGTCCGGCCCAGCATCGAGCATAATAAGTTGCTACGTGCTTCAGCATCCAAATCAAATGCCGCGCGGTCTGTCGGTTAAGCTGGCTGTTTATTTACAAATGGATTTGAAAAAATCGAAATTTTCACATTTCAGTAGATGTAACAAACTTATCGATTTGAATTTAGTTTGCGTTGAGTGTATTCAATATTCTACTGATATTTCGCAAGTGTATTCGGATCGTTTTTCTGCTGCCGTCCCAAGCTTCTTAGGTTTGTTTACATCGTGGACACAGTAGAAGACCTAGGTAGCCCCAAATGTTTCAAATTTAGGGAGGAGGTAACTTCAATAGAATTTGAGAGCCAAACACGTGACAGGCAATATTTGAAATTTGAATAGTGGATACTTTTCTTCAGTTTCTTTTCCACGTTTTCGCTGCTATTTTAGCGCACATTAGTTTTGATATTTCAAACGTAACTGTTTCTGAAGCGGAAGTTTCAATATTCAGGGCACTTTGGTGTATTATATTTAATGATACCACAACCTTTCATACCAACAACTAACTATATGAATTATGATGCAGACACAGCTAGGATAATTTCAGAACTGGACAGTTGGTAATGAGAATTGCGAAGGTTTGTCGATTGTTGCAACGATTTGGAAGCTGCGAGAAGATTTCGGTCGAAATAATGTGCCCAGCGCCAACACGATTCGTCAGTTGGTGCGGAAATTTGAACAAACAGGTGAAATTGAAGACTTAGAAGACATACATAATTTTTAAAATAAAAAAAAATGACGTATTTTATTTCATTTCACAAATATTCGAGATACAAACCAGTCAGTTACATATCTGCCACCCTGTATATACTCAGTTACATTAGATATCCCTGCTATATATCATTCATATGATATCGTTTTATTTTGCTCAAGGCAGCAATGTCCAGTTCCAAAATTTCCTAGCCGGTACATTCCTTTGACGTTTTTGCGGGTCGGGACATGCTCTTGGAGGAGGAACTCCTGCGTTTACACTGGACTGGTGTGTAGCTTCAAAATAGATGATGTTTTACTTACTGATCTAAAAGCATCTTTGAAGGAAGTAATAATCGCATATTTAATGATGATAAAGTTAATGCCACTTTTAATAACAAAACAGCGAATTGAATTTCTAGAGGTGCGTGTACGGTACTAACACCTTCCACTATGTTGCTCACAAAAGAGAGCGTGATTACAGACACGAACTACTGGCAGAAGCGATGAAAGCAGGTACGCCGTTCGCGCTGTGGAACGGACCAACGATCGTCGCATGGTTGGAGTTGTGGGTGGGGATGCCGGCGTGGTACGTGGCTGCGTGTAGGGCTAACGTCAAGTCGGGGGCTATCATGAGCGCATTGAGCGATACGGAGATACAACGGGAGATTGGTGAGTAGTGTTGTTTAATTATACACATTACACATTATGCACCGAACATGCTTATTACTCACAAATTGGAATATCACAGTTTCGATTGCAAAATTCACACTAGGTACTATGCTGTGGGAGGAATGACGCAACAGTCATTTTGACATTTGCCTAAACCACTGCAGCCCACATGTCGCTAGAAGGGTTTCTGAGATTCAGGCACATAAGATACTATATGTATTATACTGTATGAACAAGATGTGCTTGTCAACGCAACAACCGACATATGTACAGGTTTAGTGCTATTTGGTCATTCGTTCCGATGTACGAGAGGTATATGCTGTCGTTGAGCCGAAAAAGGTACGATAGGGCCAGCAATGCAAAGGCAAGACACACAGCTTGTGCAATTAACAGATAGCTAGTATTTAGTATGGATTTTTAAAAAATCGCAATCTAACAGTAATAATCGGAAATACAGATACACTACCGTTCAAAAGTATTTGAGCACCCAGAAAATAAGGAAAATGATGGAAGTTTATAAAGAAAACATAAACAAATCTGTGTATTTATAATCAAAATAATCATATGTTTGTCTCATCAATATGTCCTCCTTTACTTTTATGTACAGCCTGGCAAATAATGGGTAAACGCGCAACTAATTTTTCCAAAGTGAATGGGGTTATTTTTCGCCATTCGTCTTGTAATATTCTCGATTAGTGTTCGAGATGTAGGACAGTTAATCCCACAGCAACTCTATCGGATTCAAATCCCGGGATTGGGGAGGCCATTGCATGAAGTTCAAAATATTTTGTTCTTGTTCTGCTTCCAAATATTGTTTAAAAACTTGGATGTGTGTTTGGGGTAACTTTCTTTATTCAGTATTTCCCCTTCACAATATCCCTCAGAGCCACCACCGCGCTTGACTGAAGCAACGGTGCATGATTCTAATGCCCGCTCGTTAGGCCGACGGCAGACAAATACCCTTTTCTTGGAACCAAGAACTTCAATTTTCGTTTAATCGTTCCAGAAGACCTTCTTCCAGTCAGCAACTGTCCAATTTTGGTGTTGTTTGGCCCAATTTAGTCCCGTTTTTGTGTTAGTAGCTTTGAGGAGTGGTTTCGATACTGCTATGCATCCCTTAAGTCCAGGTTCGAGTAACTTTTTCTTAACTGTAGTCACACGTACAGGTTTACTACGGCCCACATCCAATCCGCTGCTATTTCGGGTGCAGTCATGCATCTATTGCGTTTACTTTTCACTATTCTCAGTGGAAGTTGTAACTCTGGGTTTCTCTGAACGATGGCTATTGGATGTTGTGCCTTAAATTTGTTAATAATGTGGTGTCTCGTACAGATGACAGGGCTACCTTCTGAAGTTTAGACATTTCTCGAATACTTTTGCGGGATGTATGAAGACCATTAATAACTCCTTTTATCTCCTCGAAATATTCTTTAGTTTTACCCGTTTTGTCCAGAAAAATATAAACGAAAACACGCTTGTTAAATAATCTTGAACTATAAGGTATTGAAGCACGGTTAGTTTATCAAATGAGACAATGTAACTGAAGTAAAACTGTGTTATGGGTTTACGAACAACACGAGTTAAATGAAATAATCGAATAAAACAAATCCCGAGAAAGAATTCTTATACAAACACATAACGATATTCTGAAGGCAAAGGAATTCCTATTATGGCTAATGATGAGATATCATATTAATGTGAGCAGAATTTTTATTTTAATGACCTTTCGGTGATGCTTGATTTTCATGGTGGTGAGTTTCAATAAATACAGGAGAATAAATACTTTCTGAATAGCTTTTTTTATGATTTTAAATGGAAATATGCAGATGTTCAAATACTTTTGAATGATACTGTACATAATAAGGCGAGGAATTACGTAACTTCTAACTGGAGTTGGTCGGCAGTCGAAAAGCTACTCCTTCTGATTGAATTAAAAAACAATGCAATTAGTTAGGAATACTTCATTCAACGGTAGATTTGAATCCATTTGACTGAAGTAGCAAAAGCTCAAGTAAGAAAAGCGACAGGTACTTACGAGCCATGATCATGCTCATAATTTCTGCATTCTTAATAATGAATTTACCAGGATGCCCACACAACCTGGAATTCGAGCAAGTCATAGCAATGGTGGATATTTTCTACTATGCACGTGACATTATTGAAGAAAGAAAAAGAAAATTCCTTTCATTTGACTTTCTTGGAGAAAAGTGCATCATTGGCCAGCCGGTAATCTTAACTACTCCATAAACCATCCAGCTACGGGACTTTTTGAGCGTATATTCCTGGAGTATATACCAACCTTTCAGGAAAAAATGCCCATATATTATTTGTTTTCCAGGAATAAGCAACCCCCTGCACCGGTTAAAACTACGCCTGGCCATTCAAGAAATGGTGTCACTAACGTCTCCTTCTGCTCCGAAGACCTCGCGTACGACCTTAGCCTTTGGCGACATGAACCACGAATGGATCGGCAACGTCTGGTTGCCATCTCTAGGGTTACCCCAGTATAGATCTACCTTCATGGAGTGCTTAGTAGATGCCAGAATGTTGGACCACCTTAACAAAAAGGACCTTAGACAATTGAAAATGGTTGACGGCTTTCACAAGTAAGATGATTCCTAAAATGATTTTAATATCTGCTCAGCAGAAAATGCTGATAACATCTTGGACCTACTTCCTTGTTAATAGTCTTGTGTTAAATTGATGGGTAGTTCAGTTTTATCATTATTTCCATACTTATAAAAAATAGTAGATATTTTGCAGTCGTGAATTTTACCCTGTAAAATCTTTTGTCCTGTTTTCACTGGTAAAATCTTATTTCGCTTAGGATTGCTTACTTTATTATGTGGATGTTTCAGGACGAGCTTGCAGTACGGCATATCATGTTTAAAAAGACTAAATTACGATAGGAATGCATTAGAAGAGAGGAGGAAAAGCTGTGAAAACTCTTTAATCGATGTATTAGTATGGAGTAATGAACGCCTAATCCGATGGGTAGCTGCAATAGGATTAAAAGTAAGTGTTATAATGCTAAGTTACGTATGAAGCTTACAATTATTTAATTTTCAGCTTATGTGATATTGGTACCGTACTTTTGAAATCGGTGATAAAACTCGTATACGAAAAGATAGCGAATGACAGCTTCTCACGTATAACACGTTGTTACAGTGAGTTGATATCACGAAGACTCTTTTGACGTTTCGGACGTATGTCTTTATTTTATATTAGTAGTTTTAATTAGCTTGAAGTACCTGCTGGTGTATTTTGAGACACACATTTGAAATACTACGAAATACTTCAGATACCTCGAAATAATTCACGATACATCAAGGAAGCAACAAGAATAGCTAGAAATAGTTTGTGGTTACTATGCTTACATCGCCTGTTGGTGGAAGAAATACATTTGTTATTTATGCGCGCCAAAAATGTATGGATTTCAATTTCATAAGTAGCGACTGATCGGCATGTAAAATCAGGAAAGTAAGCTTTATTTTAGGAATATAGTCAATAGGTTGACACTCATGGCAATTAACAACACCAGGTTGCGGTTAGGTTGCAGAAATATTCAATTTCAGTGAGTAAACTATGTATTAACTAAACGCTGAAATAGCAAAATAAACAAAACATTTGGGTAAGTTGGGGCTCGAAATGCCTCTGTCCGCTGAGCAAACAAAGCTTGTGGCAAGTTTGTGCGAAATGCTGATATCTATATGATGAGTCTGCAAGATGGAAAAATTTCTAATAACGAATTTCATCAAATGAAATGTACTCAAAATATGTAAATGTATCTTATTAAGATTGGAAACATCCATCTGAATTACTGGATAAAGGATTATGTTTAGATATCCATTAAAACAACCCAAGTGAATATATAGGAGAAGTCAAAGTGACAGAGTGGTGGCACTGTCACGTGACAGGTAACGGTTGGTCGTCATTAGTCAATTTATCTCACTTCTATCTCCTTGGAACTGTCAAATAATAGTTATCGTTCGTGATAGAAGTCGTATACGAGTTGGTATTTTTTAAACCATTCGTGATTAGCTACCCACATTTCACATTTTTGCACACTTGTCGTAGCTTGATTATGCATGTAAGTGTGATTGCGCTAGTACTTCTCTCATAATTTTTTTCATTATACTCCAACTACCACGAGTGAATAAGGCCTAAACGCCCATGGGGTACCGCGGTGCTATAGGGGAAAGAGGGGAAAGGGGAGACGCCACACAGACTCTGGCGAGGGAACACATGTGCATGCAACATGCACACATTCTGGCCCGTTGCTGTCTAACAATTATGTATTTGAGCTATTTTTATGGATAAATAATGTATTTTGTACGTTATACTCTCATGAAAATGAAATGAAAATGTTGATACTATCCCACGATTTAAAATTTGAACTTATTTTTGAAGCTTCCGATAATCACTTTACAAGTACTCCATACTGGAAAATCTGTATAGTCAACGCCAAACAAAGTGGCGTGCACGTCATCACGATAAAAATTCCCCGACCTAATGCCTAGGTTTCTATCACAAACAATTGCTCTATTGCAGTTTCATATTAATGTGATATATAAATTGTAAAATGGTCATTACTCTCTTATTATGGTTAATAGTCATATAAACATTGTTATTAAAATATCACAAGTTGCTTTCTGATAAATTTAGACGCATTATGCGAAATAAAATGTTTTGCAAACGCTCCAATCACTTATCGACATGTAAACGCACTAAACCGATTTCGCAGCGTTGACACATTGTCACCTTGAAACTTATTTAAACTGGGAACTGACATTTGTATTAATTTTGACACTGAATCAATTTGTGGCATTTCAAATCTTTATAAATCCTTTGGCCCCGCATACTGTAAATCAACAACTGTTTGTTTCAAAACAAAATTATTCATTTTACGAGTAGATAAAGGCAATTTTGGTATATAAAGATGCCCAAACAGTTAAATAGTCGGTGTAAGGAACTCGTGGCCTCGTTAATGCACTACTTTGAGCAAGAAAGGGACAACAACGGGCCTTTGTTGCCTTTAAATGCTGTTCAAGAGGTAGGTTACTAATAATTATATGTAATGTAAATTAATAATAGTGAAATTTTATTTCATTTTTTGTAGCGTGTTGCTGCTGCTTTAAAAATTAGTTTAAGGACAGTTAGTCGTATTTCCGAGGGTGTGAAAAGTGATGCAAATTTAGAACCGCCCAAGAAAAAGCGGAGTTATATTAAACGTGTAACCAACACAGCGACATTGGATACAAGTGCCATTCGAGAAGTGATCTATAATATGTATCACAAAAGTAAGATCTTATTATAATAACTTATCAGAAATTTGCATTAATTTGTTAACTAAATTATAATGTCATATTACACATGGTTTCAGAAGAACAAGTTACGATACAAACTTTATGGTCTCGATTAAGAGATAGGGCATTATTTGATGGTAGTGCCACGTCTTTAAGGCGGTTGCTTAGAGATCTTGGATTTAAGTGGCTTAAGGACAATCCGCGACGAGGGCTCATGGAACTACCAAGTATAGCTTTGAAAAGGGTGGAATTTCTAAGGCAATACAATCAAGCCAAGGTTGAGGCCTTATACCAGTTTGTCTTCCTCGATGAAACTTGGATATTTCAAAATGGGACCATAGGTCGCTCTTGGCAAAATGGAAACCAAAAAAGCGTGAAAGCTATTAAAACAGATGGTAAAAGGTATGTACTTTTACACAATTTGCACTATAAAATTTAAAACTAATATATTTTCGATACATTATATTACATACTGGAAATGAAAATGGGTTTATTGAGGGTAGTGAAGCGATATTTTCTTCGAAAACAAAATTGAGCGATTACCATGGAGAGATGAACCAGGACAATTTTTTGAAATGGTTTCAACATCAGTTATTAGAAAAATTCCATCTATGATTATACTGGATAACGCCCCTTATCACAGCATGATATTGAACAAAGTGCCCAACAATGCATGGACAAAAAAAAATATCCAAGACTGGTTGACAAATCAAAACATACCATTTTTAAACACAATGTTTAAAACAGAGCTAATGGGTGATATGCATAAAGGTGAGTGGGTTCTCAGAAGTAGCGACTCCATATTGTAGCGAGTAACTACTCCTCTTAGGGAGAGCCTACTCGGTTTTGATATGCATAAAATACTTATCGAGAAACGGAGAGGCTACTCAAGTTCTAATGAAATACTTGAGTAGGCACTCTGGTTTTCTAGTTCCGACTTGTATTTTGTTGTCTCGCCGAATTGGCAATTTCTCTATTGCGAGCAGTTACTACTGTATACCGGTAAACATTTGTGTTGATGGTGTTTAGGTCGATTATTATTTGTTCATTTACATGATGTCAACCTATTCTGAAGACCATTCATCTGAAAATCAAACAGTATTTGTTAATATAATTAAACAGTATCCTGTTTTGTTGGAAAAATCTAGCATCCCGGAAATCAAAAATAAACGACGTAAGGCGGTTGAAGAAATAAAAGAAAAGGTAGAAGCCGAATTAGGAGTTAAATATAATGAAGGGCAGATTTGGAAGAAGATTCAAAACATAAAAACCAGATTAAAAGCGAAGACAGACATAAATCATACCGCAAACAAACCAATAAAATTGAAAGGATGGGAACAAGAACTGTTCAATTTTCTACAAGGAGAATCAAACCCTAGTATTGCTCGATTGCAATGTTAGTTGTATTTGTTTGTTTTTCCATACAGTAGGTATAAGATGTGATTGAGTATAATATATATACATGTCAATAAATATAAATAGAATATATTTTAAATTTTAGGTGCTGTTGTGGCAGGTTGCCCACAAAAAAAGCGTTGATTACATTCCAACAGCCTGTGCTGAAGAAGAAACAATCACCGAAGAAGCATCTAGAAGTGCAGGACCAGTACTGAAAGCTACCACAATGAAAGCCGGATCCAGTAAGGAGCCTTCTAAAAAAAAAGGAAAACGAGGATTAGTGGAAACCGATGAAACACGAGATTTATCAATAACAGAGCTCCAACGTATCGTTTTACTTGAACAACTACAAGTGTTTCGGCTAGCTAAGGAACTGCTACTTGACAAGAAAAATATTAATGAATCTGATCCAAATTTATCAACTTTAAATGAAAGTGCAGAAACTGGAAATCCAATTTTCATGAGCCTATTTCCAGGGCAGAACTGACAGAAATACTTCATGTTTCATAAATGTTATTTTTTATTAATTTTAAGGTCTTTCTCTTAACTTACCATTTTGAAAATGTTATTAATTTTTTTATGAGTAATTAAACATCGTTCTTCAACGTATATCTACATAATTTTTAAATTTGGATCATGCTAGATACTTACTTAGACCCGAAAGCCATGAATAATTCTTGACATTGCATCTCTTCTAAATTGACCTCTGTGACGTATCACTCCATCTGCATAGTCGGCAGTATGTTGGTTATGGATTTCTTCTTGTTCGCCACATCTCCCGATATATAAACAGCAACATCATCAAGGTGCTTAGCCACATTATGCAAGATAAAACATCTCATGACAAGGGAGGACACTTTTTCTGTATCGAGGCGTATTTTGTTATGTAGAATGGGAAAACGCTGTTTTAGTTGAACGAAACATCTCTCTATTATAACTCGCTCTCTCGTAAACAGCCGATTGTATGATCTTTGTTCTGCTGTTTCTAAAATCCTAAAGGGAGTCATAAGCCAAGGAGCTATACCATACCCAGAGTCTCCCAACAAAACAGCACTAGCCCTATTCCATTTCATAACGTTGTATATATCAGAATTCTTCCATATCCGAGAGTCGTGTACAGATCCTGGCCAAGAAACATCCACACTTGTGAACTCTTCGTTTAAATTGCACGTTGCTTGTACATTTATACTAGCAAAGTTCTTTCTGTTCACATATTCGTCTGCATACATAAACGGCTTCAGAATAGGTATATGTGTGCAGTCGATAGCACCAATAGCTGAAGGAAAATTGAACTTTTCTTGCCACTTATTTTTAGCATTGCGTAGATCTTCACATGAGGTTGGGAATCTAATCCAAATATTCGACTTCTGCACAATGCGTGTTATAACGTTGGTAACGGTTCGGGATACCGTAGATTGATGGACACCAATATCTTCTCCTATGCCAATTTGAAATCCTGGATCACCCACATATCGTAAAAAAACCCTCATTCTTTCTATACTGCTCAAAGCACCGCCCCTATATTCTTCTGTCTCTCCAAGAAAATGGTTACTTATTTAACTTACTTATTTTAACTTTACTAAACAGATAGTCTACTTCCCTTGATTCCCTACGATCTTTAAACACCTTCGTAGGCTGATAAATAGGCATAAATTCGGCCATTTCGTGAAGACATCCCCTTCTTATAAAGCTGAGTCTACTACTAAGGTATCTCGCACTTCTTTAAGTAGGTACTCAGCGGTCGGAGTGGACGCTCGCTTTTATGCATATAAAAATTAAAGTCGGCACTCAAGGAGCGAGTACAGCCTCACGGAAAGAGTAGAAACTTATGAGTGTGAGCTTCTACTTACATTTTTATGCATATCAAATGGAGTGGATACTTTAAAAATGCGAGTCAAAAGTAGCCACTCGCCTTTATGCATATCACCCACTGAGTATTGTTGCTCGGTACATAATGCTTCTTAATTATATATAACGTATTTTGGTCGACAGTTTATATTTCTTTTGTTTATTCCTATTCTTAAAATAAGTGCTTTTTTAGAAACAAACCACTTAAAATATACGTGATTGATGAATTGGCGGAACAACATGGGCACAAAGTTCTTTGTCTGCCTCCTTACCATTGTATATTTAACCCTATTGAGTTAATTTGGGGCATAGCAAAAGGTTACTATAACAGACATATTGGTAGAGATGGTAACAGTGAAAAAGACTGTTTGGATATGTGGAACGAGACTCTACAAACGGTTACCCCAGACATGTGGAAAAATAGTGTTCGACATACTGAGCAAGAAATTTTTAAATGGTATGAAAGAGAACGAATTTTTGATCGACCAGACATCGAACCTTTAATAATCAACTTTGAGAGTGATGAAGATTCAGATTCAGACAGCGCTGAAGAAAGAAACTCCGATTAACTTTATTGTACAGAAAAAGCTTACACCAGTAGCTTACCTAATTTTAGAATGCATTTTTAAGCTATCAATTAAATATGGTAGTTTCATAGTGTCATCTGATCAATAATTGTCATACTTAATGATTATGCAAGTACAGGTCTATAATTTTATTATACTATTATTTTTGTTCTCATTTGAGGTTAATATTGCTTATAAACCTAGATATGTAAATAATAAATTTTATTATTTTACAAAAAGTTTGGCAACAATGTAAATTTTTCAACACACCCACCTTGATGACGTGCACGCCACTTTGTTTGGCGTTGACTATAGGTCTGACATTATGAATAAAAGAAATATTTCTAAGCTCTAGCCTACCTATATTGTTGCAGCGAACTTAGTTTATAGGTCTTAAAATGAATATCCTTTATATAGTTTTGAAAAAATCTTTTAGCTTAGCATATTCATAAAGTTAGGTGCAGTTTGCATGAGAGGGTCTTAGGAGAACTATAAATTAAGTTTACGTGAATTTATAGATACAGGCTGAGGGATATAAAATGCTTAGACAGATTTGTCCTAGCATATTTTTCATTTATAATTGAGTTATTTTTTGCGTACATTCATAAAAAAATGCTCCATCCAATAGGCGATGTAAGCATCGCAACCACAAAATACACATATTTCTAGCTATTCTTGTCGTTTCCTTTGTGTATCATGAGTTACTTCGAGGTATCTCAGAATCTTTTCTTAGTATTTCGATGTCTCTGATATACACCAGCAGGTACTCCAATCTAATGAAAATTACTGTTATAAAATTCCACTACATTACTACCCATTGAAACGCCCAGTGTCCGGTAAATAGTATGACAAAAAAAAAATGGGGAAAAATTTCATCATTTGATCTAACGTTTGTTGGTGATTAAGCAGGTAGTTTATCGCAGTACTTTGCAGTACCAGTCTAGTACAATTTTGTTTCGTTGCTGAATACCAAACGTGAGTAAAATAGTTTTCTAAAATAAAACTTAGGAAGAAGAAATTGGTGTGTCAAGTTTACTTGTATTTATCGAAAATCATATTTCAAATGGCAGACCAACTATCTCAGAATATTTTGCAAAAACAGATATCCTGTTACTTTTATTACAGCAACAAAAGATAGATTAAAAAAAAGGGACCAAAAAATCAATATCTGAAAAACAGTTGCTTTTACTAGGGTCATTTTTTGGTATGTTGTAGATCTGCCCTTCAGCTATCGTTCCTATTTTTTGTCGTACTATTTACTGTCTTCAAGTGAAGACATTCGTCCGAAATGTCAAAAGGCTCTTCGAGGTAAGTTCTCAACTCACTGTAACAACGTGTTACACGGATTCGCTATCTTTTCCTATACCGATTTCAAAAATATGGGCCTTGTTCGCTTTAATAAGGAAATACTACTAAATGAAACCTATTGAAGTGATCACTTGATGCGTTTAACCTGTAAAGGGCAATACGTTTTCGTGACGGTGGTATGAGTTATGGATCACTCTAGTAGTAGCATTATGATCTTATAAACGTAAACATGGAATAACCGTGCAGTTAATATCGTGCTTTTAGAAGTTAAGGATATTAGTTTAATGTAAACAATTTTTGTTTCAGGAATACGGTAACAATTTATTAGAGTCTGGTGTACATGGTGCTTTGATTGCATTGCATGAAGGTTTTGATGCGAATAGCATGGCACTAGCGTTACAAATACCGACGCAGAATACACAGGTAAGTTATAGTGTCCAGTTGTTCTTTATTCAATACTTCCATTTTAAAAGTACAAAGTATGCTCTTACGTTGACAATTTGACATGAAATGTATTGTTATATTCTATGGGTGTCTGGGGCGTAAAAATGAAATTATATTGGCTAATTTCTTCATCCTGATATACTTATGATTTTAAATTATCTTTCCATTCCACGAATTTCGAATACGGACGAAAAAAAAGAGGACAATGTTTATCAAAGCACGGAATACCCCATCAAGTTGCAACGTCTTGTAGTCCGGACAATGTCTTCGCATCTAATGGAAAACATTCTGATTCGGTTTTTTGCATTATCTCATTAAAAAAGCGCCCCTTTTAACGAAACTGTATGTTGACAGGTCCAAATTTGCGTCAAAACTGTAAAACAAAGTTTTTTATACAAATCCCAAAATTTGTTTTTTCATCTCGATCAAAGTGTATAAACGATACAATATTTGAAAAGTGCGAACTATGTCATTTTCGCCCCAAAAAACAATACGAAAAAACGAAAATTTTAATGTTGCCAATGTCATTTTGAGCCTTTTTTTTTTAGTTGTTAACCAAGCGCGCGCAGAGTTAATGATCTGCGTGAGTACGAGAGATATGCAACATGTAGGTGCGGCCGCCAGCCGCGGCAAAGAACCATTGAGCGCGTGCTGGATTAATATTTAAAATTCAAAGGTTTACAATAGCAATACGTCCTGAAACGTTTTGGGATTTGTGAATGTTTGAAGAATATTTAGGAACATCGGCAATATTAAAATTTTGTAGTAAACAACTATGTGAGAGAAAGGAAAAATGGGTGCCGGCGGGATTCGAACGCCCATCTCCTCAGTTCCTCGGAGCTGAACCTAACCAATTAGTCTAAGGGCCGTATCGTCAGTCGTTCTCACAAGTTTTCTACTATTCCGTGTCAGCGCTCTATTTTGAGGTTATGCTACAAATAACTATTTGCATCAAGTTGTTCATGCTTTTGATTTATATCAATTTCTTACTGTTAAAAAAGACATCCTACAATTCATCATATCATCATACAATTATTGTAGGACGCCTTTATGGCCTCGTTGATTTTCATAGTCGTTTCTCTCCAGAAAGGCAGGGGTATTCCTAAATTGTTTGTTTCCTGCCAGCGTCAGCGCTCTCCTATTGTGAGGCTATGTTTTCTTTTGAATTGGAATGGGAATTTTCAGGCTATATAACAGATGGTATAAATCAAAAGCATGCACAGTTTGATGCAAATAGATATTTGTAACATAACCAGAAAAGAGAGCGCAGACACGGAACAGTAGAAAACTATGAAAAACAAGCAGGCTATGAAGGCGTCCTACAATTGTAGGAACGACTGACGATACGACCCTAAAGCACCAGCTGTCAATTAACTTTCAGGAACGACTGTTAGAGGCAAATTCAATCATACCCACGTCGTTCGTTTTTTCAAGCTGCTTGATGCTCCATCTGGCGGTGCTCAAGTGAAACAAACCGGATTGATAAGGTATCTCCAATCGCCTTCGCCGTCTCGTGGGCACTTACTACAACTTGAGAGTTGTTGTTTACTAAACATACTCGCTGTTGCTGATGCTCTCATCCGAAAAATCGTATACAGGTTACTGTCTTCGCACGGTGGCACCTTGATGAGTGCCCAGAAGGCGTGGCATGGTGCGACTAGCAAGCGACTTAGGATACCTTACCAATTCGGTTTGTTTTACTTGAACTCCGCCAGATGGGGCATTAAACAGATTAAAAAACCATATGAACAGTGACGTGCCTCGAATTGAATTTTCCTCTACCAGTCGATCCTGAAAGTTGGTTGACAGCTGGTGCTTCAGACTAATTGGTTAGGTCGGCTTCACGGAACGGAGGAGATGCGGCTTCGAATCCTGCCCGCGCCCATTCTTCCTTTCTCTGAAGTTGTTGGTTACTAAACATACTCGCTATTATGGATGCGCTCATCCGAAAAATCGTATACAGATTAAATTTTTTTTTATTACGTTTTTGGGGTCGAAAATGACATAATTCGCATTTTCAAATATTGGATAGCCTATATCTCGAAAACTATCAATTCTAAACATATTTTGACCGGAGCTTAAAAAATTTTATTGAATTGGTTTAAAAACTTTTGAGGCAAATTTGATCCTGGAAACATCCGTTAAAAGGGGCCCTTTTCGAATACGATTATGCAAAAATTTCGAATCAGAATATTTTCCCATTAGATTGCTCGTACTATTGCTAGTTGTAAAATGAATGCGCTTCCGAAAGTCACGCCAGTTGGACTTAGCGAATCTTATTATATCTCTCAGAGGAAGATGAATTGCTTTACGAAGGAAACAATTGGTTTTTCAGGCCCGCCAAACGCTGGAAGTGGAATTCATGAACCTGTTACGAGTGGGTACCGACCGTCGACCGGACGAAGGCCGATCCTGATACGGGCCGGCGTCCTCCTCGGGCGAGGACCTTAACGTAGCAGCGGCGGCGGCCGCAGCGGCGCAGATGCGGTAAAATCCTCTGACGCAGAAGCGCTAGCTATCGGTGCGGAGCGGCAACTAAACCGTTCTGATACGGCAGTGGATATGATGCAACAGTGGGCCGTGCTCTACCTCTTCCGGTGTTGTTCTGTGAACGTGGGGCGAACGGGAGATATGACAAGCGTATGGCGGATGCAGGGTGGTCCTGTGGATTTGAAAGGTGAATTTTGGGATGATTTAAAGAACAACATGCAGTGAGTGTTGCTTTCATAATAATTATATTTTTCTAACCGTTCTACACCTACATGGAAAATAATTATTGTCTAAGTTATGTAGTTATTACGCCAAAACTTTTCATGAGAATCAGTAGTCAGTAAATACTTAAAAGAACTCTAGTACACAATTTCGCCATTAAAATTTACATGTTCTCTAGGACTTGCGCGAGATTCAATGCAGAATACTGTCTTTAGTGCAGATGCATCCGCGAACAATTGAAGGGCTTGGGGCAGTAAGGGACCTAAGCCTCATTGGGTTTATTTTGAGAAAAAAAGGCATTGTAAGTTTTGTGTAAATCCTGAAATCAGGTTTTTTGCAACAATCGGCTAGAACTGATGCAATACATTTCCAACTCAGGTAACTAGGATTTGGTGGCGACTAATTCGAAAAATTGTGACACATTTCCGTAGAAAAAATTTATTTTTGAAAATTTTGTGGCTTGGTGCCTTATTACAAAAAAAAATAATGCATTCTGATGATAGCTTGAATCACTCATTTAGTCCAAATTCACTTCTTCATCATCGCCATCTATATCTTCAGCCTCTTCTTCTCATTCCTTCGGCTGTTCACTGCCTGGCTCTGCTTCAATTGTATTTCCTACAATATCAACAAAAAACTGCTGACTAATCGGCGGGATATATTTTAGAAGCTTTTTTAGATCTTTGATCTTCTTGTCATTCAGTGCTAGAGGTCCATTGTATTTTCTTCTCAAATCTGTCAGGGTTCGTTGACTTCCCAGCCGAGATCCTCTTTTACCCACATTTACCTCAAGAAATTCTCCGTTAAGGGTATGTTTTATGAACATAGAATTGGGATGTTCACTGTCAAACTTGAAACAGCGCACTTCATTAAATTTGACGGCCTCCTTATCTACGGTAGATTGTTTTTTCGTAATAGAGATGGAATCAAATGCATAAAAGTCATGTTGTTCCAATAAGGCTGTGTCAAATGGGCTTTTTCTGTTGGATTTCTTAACGATATCCACCCAGTCTTCTGGACAGTATACCTGCTTGATGTACCTCTTATGCTTCTCAATGATGGCAAAGTCTCTATCTGAAGGCAAGTGAGTGTGGCCAGGAATAAGGAAACGGTGCTCTATGGACTTGAAGAATCCTTCGCGAACAAGTTGCAACCACAAAGACATGATTACCCAGTTTTTGTTCTGGCCTCCACAGTTATCAGTGAAAACTACCAAGTGCTCTTTAGTGGAAGATATACCTTGTAAGTATTTCAGCAGGATGCTTGCAATCTCTTCACTTCCCTTCCCCTTTTTGCAGTAGTTTCTGCCCACAAAAACATGCTACCTTTGCCAGTGACACAATCGTGTATGCCGAGGTTGTACGTCCAAGCCTTTCGTAAATAGAAGGCAGGACCCACAGTTAGCGAAGGCGTGGGAAGAGTCTGCTGTAAATCAAATGATATTATACACGTGGAATTTTTCGCATTGTCTGATACCTCTTTTTTCAAGCTATCCTGCATGGCAAGTGCTCTCGTCTGATGAAGCTGCAGTTGTGTTTTAAATTCATTGAATTCCTCCAGGTTTTCTTTATTTGCTTCCATTTGATTATTAAGGAAGTCGCATGTATGACAAGTATCACTCTTGGGCAACTTAAATCCTATATTGTAATCAGAACAGACTATTCGTCTATACCGATCTTCTTTTACTGGTGCTATTCCACGTTCTTTGCACCACTCGACATAATAGTCCTTGTAGAGAGTAGATATGTTGAGGTCGTGGTTTAGAAAAACTCTATTTGGATTAACTTTCCGACTGTAATGGCTCACATATTTCGGAATGGCTTTAATATGGTCATGAACAGACTGAACTCTTTCTGCAGAAATTTTGTTGGGTCTGTTTTGATGTTTGCCCCTACCGTCCCTTTTTGGAGTTGTCCTGCCTTCAACAATTTGCTGAGCGATAAGTTTTAATCGCTTACTGGAGTTTTGAAGTCCATGGACCGATAAAAATTCAGTCTTACATATTTGAATGTCAACTCCATTTACTTTGACAAAATATTGGTTTGTTACTCGTCGAGCCGATTCCGCGCGTTTAGTTTTTTTTTTGTAGCTTCTCTTTTTAGGTATAACCTTCACAGTAGAAAATAGATATGTATTCTGTTCGTCATACGAGTTCAAGTCCCAAAATGCATGGAATATAGTAGAAGCAGTTTCTTGGAGCAGTTGTCTGCAGTTCTTTTTGCACTGACATGGTGGACCTAATACTTTAGACTCTCGTTGTCGACCTTTGAAATCTCTGTAACTGTGGCCAAGATTTCTGCGTGTTTTCGATTTCACTCTTGCTCTGCCTTCAATATTACGTTTTCTCCATCTCGATTTATTTGGTTTTTCTGGAGTAAACATCTTGCCTCTGCTTACAGCAACCTAAAAGCCATTTTATTGTTACAAAAAAACATCATTGACGAATGCCTATTTCAGTTGATTATCATAACAATAACTAAAATTATTTGTGACAGTAAATCTCAGTTCTATTTTGCAAAAGTTATCGCTATTCCCGGATACTGAAAAACGTCACAAGACACAGACATCAATTTAGTTGGCGAAGAAGGGCATAAGCCACTTGCACAAAATTACATATTTTTATCATGTGTTCAGGAGTTATTTGCTGTTAAAAATGGCCTCTGTAAATTAGGATTACGATATACTCTGAGGAATGATTAGTCTGAAATCATAATCTAGTAATACTGCAGAAGTAATATTAAAAAATTGCACTCCTATGTGAAAAAAGCATAAGCCACATCTATAACGGCATTAAGGTCACAAGCCACAAGCTTATTTATTCACCTGAGTTTCTCGTTCGGAGTCACTGTCAGAACTGCTGCTAGTCGGATTATAGTCTCTGTTCTTTACACTATCATCTGATCCAAATTCAGAACCATCTTCGCTCTCCGAATCACTAAAACGTCCATTATTTTCACCCGCGAACAATTTCCGCTTGGCGTCCATCTTGAAATGTATGTGGCTTATGTCCTTTTCGGCGTAAAAATTTGTAGACTAAACCAATCTGTCAAAAACGCTCTTCATGGATTATAGCGACATCTACCAGCGGATCATCAAACAAATCAACTTCAGACATAGATACCTACTCAACGAGTTCGCTCGTATGGAAATCTAATTTTTCATCAAAATGTGGCTCAGGTCCCTTACTGCCCCAAGCCCTTCAATTATCATTTTTGTGAACCTGGAGAAAGTTGTCGTTGATGTGTATTTGTACAGTGGTTAACGTCATGTACATTAAAAATATGATGGCAGTAAGCAGCAGTATTACAGAAGTTACAGCAATATATTTATTCCCTGTATAATACAAGTTGTAGAGAAAATGTTCAATATATAAAACAACATAAAACATTTTCATCATAAGTGCGAGCGTAGTTTTTACAAGAATTACTGTCCATGTAAAACTACTCAAAGGAAAAACCAGAAAAAGAAACCAAACGCTCCTTCTGTAGCCATTCATAGGCTTGTTGATTAGCATTAGAGATGCACTCAGTACGACTCAGTACTCGACTAAAATCGAATACTGGATGCTAGGTCGGGTACTCGGTGGAATGATTTGCGCTATTATATTTGACCTTTCAAAAGACCTATTTATTCTCAATACTGATTTACTTTTTGAACAAATTAACGCATTAGGCACAAAAAAAATGTTGAAATGTGACTTGGACATTCTTTGTGAGTATGTTACTGTGTTAACCGCATTTTCAGAGGTTTTATTGCTTAAATGTTTAGAACTCACAAAAACTAGGTAAATGTTTATACTTAAAACTTAAGACGCTGTGAAATTTCACTAACTAAATTATTGAGTTAACATTGACACCACATTTTGGCATTCCTGTTTGCGATCATATAGTTTTCATATGCTTTTCATTTTTTAACAACAAACACTACTTGATGTCGTGACCGGACCAAGTCAGATTTATCTTACGTTCTTTTTTATTTGGAGCTAAGCAGAAAGCTTTTGAAAAATGCATGTAGGCCCGAACTTTCCACGTTGCCTCTGCAATACTCTGATTTACACAAGCTCTATGCCTTGCATTCAGACCGAGTATCTTGATACTCGGCAAAACCGGGTACTCGATCAAATAGGCCGAGTAATTGGGTACCGGGTACAAATCGAGTACTCGCTGCATCCCTAGTTGGCATTGTGTTTTTGTATCTACAATATTAACAACACGCGTACATTCACATTGTCACTTCTTTAGTGACATCCAAATTTATAATGGTTCTTTTAAAAAATCGGCTGTTAATGATCCTGACTATATTTCACGTCAGATGGCAATAAAACAAGATAAATAGTTTTTGACCATGTGTGGGAAAACAGATGCTGATCAGCTGTTCACTGCAGTAGAATTTAAAATGTAGCGGAGACTTACGAAAATGACTATAGAAAGCTTTTTTAACTCTTAATATTTTAATTTATCTTATTCACTGGCATGTTTGATATGTCTTATATGTATATTTTGTCCCGAAATTCACTTGATAATTAATCTTTCAATGTTCGAGGAGCAACCTGTGCTTGCTTTATTTGTGTGCTGCGATTATGGCCTGGCATAACCTAATTTATGAAGTTTTGACATGTCATAGGTATAGGAACTCTGACCTGTTACATTTTGTGTTTAATTTCAATTCGAATATTATCATAAATATATTTTATTTTTTGCTCTAAAATGTATGTCTAGAGATGTATCAATTTCACCATTAATTCAATCTAATTGAATGTTAGTGACTTTTTTAATGTCTTGATATTATGTTTCATTTCTTACATAAAATATATTTTACTGGTAGCAACCATGGTTTGGTCTTGATACAATTTTATACCAACAGACTAATAACGTTTTTAACGAATTTAACTATTTTCCCTCTTTCCTTTCATGTATCAATATTCAGAAACATTCTTGAAGTTTTACTTAATTTTTTCCTTAATCAAAGTCTTATCATTTTGCTCCAGTAAGGAACACTACAGTGTAGAATTATTCCTTGGGATTATGAAAGACTATAACTTTGTGTATAAGTTGTTTAATATAACATTGAAAAGATTAAAGTCCTGTATTCAATGACGGTCTAGCAACAAAGTGGGGAGCACAGTATACATTCAGTTGATTGTTGGTCTTGATGAAAACTCAAAGCACTTCCATAATAATAATATAGTATACATAGCCAGTGTTAGAACAATAGTAGATGTAACTAATACTAATAATAATGTTATATGTATAAAAATATATGTGTAATAGGGACGAAACGATAAAATTATTTTCGTAATCTCAACCACAAAGGTTTGTAGGTTTACAATATAGCCTTAATGGACATATTCATAGTTCATGGAAGCCCCCTAACGTGTTAATTTAGGTTATGCTACGGCCCTGACTGGAACAATCCTGCGAATGATCAAAAAGTAGATGAGAGTTCTTATACAATGTTAGCACATTTACCTGGCAACCGATCAAAATTCGGAATTACTTTGAGATAGAAAGTCATTTTAAGATTTAGGTCTAGAATGTATGGGTATTCTATCCGCTCTGGGATTAACATGAAATGGAAAACGTTCCATATGTGAAACCTTGTCATTAGTTATTGAAAAAATTTTGAGAAATAAATTCTAAATTACCGTAACTATTGCATCACAATGTGTGCCATACACATACTGTCTTGATAAATAATATCAGTGCCAACAAATTCGAAATCATCGCTTCTTTGATCATTCTGAAGTTCATCAAGACGACTCGCAAGCGCGTAAGAAATGACATATGAGCTTTAATGAACTAAAAAAAGGTAATATAAAGTACCCTGTATCGTGAATAACTCATAGTATTACTAAATGTACATTAAAAGAAAAAACTTGTTGTTGGGTTACCTGCGATCGGATAAGAAAAAATATTGTTGAATGTGGTAGCATCAGTCAGTATTACCCCATGCGTGCCTGCATTATACTTCTATGAGGTGGAAGACGGCCTGTTTCGATAGGTTAGAAGGCAGACATTTAAATATGACATACTACAGGTGAATTGCGGCTAAAAAGGTGGTCGTTTCCTGACGAGAGATAGAAATTGATAAGAAACAATTTTTGCTAGATTTTTTCCACGTTTTGTATTGTACCATTGGTTAACGTTTTCCCACCAGATTCTGATCGTTTTCAGTGCAATAACTAAGAGGACTGTTTTACTTGTTTGAAGTAGACACTCATGTCGACAAGTTTTAAAATGGACATAAAGGGCGGTAATGTTAGTAATCATACTCTCCAAACGTCGTTATTATGTCCCGAAAGATTTCTCATTTTCGTATTTATACTTGAGTTAAGAAAAGTGAACAGAAGATTATAAAATAAAATGAAAAAAAAGGATAAACGGAACTTCTATTTTCTCGTAGTTGACTCAAAAATATGTCAAAAAGATACTGAGTCTCATATTCAGTCTTAATCATGATGACTCCTATCGAGATATGTTTATAAAAAAATCTTCAATGCAACAGCAATATATCTTTACAAACTACGAGGGTCACGCTATATATTTTGAGACACACTAAAACTAAAAACTATTTTTCGAACACTAGTTTATTTATGTTTAAGGTATTCGCCTCCAGCATCAATGTACTTCTGTAACCTAAGCTTCCAGCCTTCAACAAATTGATTAATTGCTTGATCGATTTCTTCTCGGACGGAAATTTTCGACCGCGCAGATTTGACAGCAGATAACAGCTTATAACCTAGTAATATTTCAAAATATCCCATATCGATATATATATATATATATATATATATATGACATATAATTGTCTTGTATGCAGCATACTATACTTCCTAACAATGCTTTTATTCGGAAAAGCTTCTTCATACACAGAAAAAACGCTAGAAGCAAAATAGCTGCTAATGAACATGACTATACTTTAAGTCAGGTGGTAATAAAACAAGATGAACAGTTTTTGACCATGGGATCTATTTTAACAACAGAGTGAACCTTCTCTTATACAGTCCATATTATTTTTGGATCATCTAGGCGCTAATGCAGCGTCACCATTCGGTATCTTTGGAGGCCAGAAAGTGTAAGAGGTTTACGCAAGTTTGATTTCTCCAGAAAGTAATTACCGTATGTAAATAAAAGTGACGGAAAAATTGAGCTATCATACTAATTGTAGCTGAATGAAATTTTAGTTTTGACTATCATAGGGTGATGATCGCCACCCCTCGCCCCCCTGAGAAAAAATTCCTGCGGGCGCCCATGGTCAAATCTCTATTATCAAAAACTAGCTACTCTTTCAATAACATTTTGCTCTATTTATTGTTGATATTTGGTAGTCTTTTTAAAAGAAGAAATATATACTCAAGAGTTTTGTCAATTAGTGACTAAGCTATTAGGAATTTTGTCTGAAAAAAAATAAGAATTCAGTACTACACATCCCTGCCATTTGTACCAGCAGACTAATTGTATTTTCCTGAATTTCAACCTCGTCCATTTTTTGAAGCTTTGGTTTTCTGTTGAAGTACTGGATAGTCAAAGATGTGTGCTTTTACTCAGGAAAATCAAATGATGCGCACTTTCTAAAGTTATAATTGCAAAATCTGGGGCTGATTTGATGTTTGTGTAGATACAGCCCCAAAGAAATTAGTCATTTTTTGCCTTCTGATTTTCAAAACGGCCGTCTCACACTATCGGTGCTGTCATTTCTGTTAAGCGCTTCTTAAAGCTCGGGAAATTTTTGCGCAACTTACCGTGAGACTGCTTAACGTTATTTTAATATTTATATATAATGTATTATATACTATGGTAATTATATGACGTATGATAAACAAATGTATGCCTAACCAGGTAATGTCCACGTCTTGATATCATTTATTATAAATTTTTCACCAGAGGACGGACGTTCGCAGGTAGTGAACAAGGTGTTTGTAGATAAGTATGCACTGTGATTTCATATTATTTCTATTACATAACCATAAACGTAAACCCAATGGCTTGAGCTTCCAGTGAATACCGAAAATGAAAAATATTACCATGGAATACCATTGGATCCTACCATGTCTTCTAATACTAAACTAAAAGTGGACAAACTAAATATTGTCCGTACCATATTTGCTTTTGTCTTAATTGAATTTTGCTGATTAATAATTACTAAATCAAACGAACTTACCTGTAATGAAGTTCGATTGTAATTATATGAAGTCCTCGTGAAGTAAATAAGAACAAACGTAGTCTCTCTATTCCACACCGTACATCACGAATTTTTAAAGTAAACAAACCGCCCCGTCCGCTACCCCGCTACCGGGCCACGTCGGTGGTACCGTCGTGTGCATGTCTCATTATTCAAAGATCTGTCTGCAGTTGATGCAATTAATAATAGGGAAAAATAAAACGGGGAGGGAGGGACTTATTTACTTCACGAGGACTTCATATAATTACAATCGAACTTCATTACAGGTAAGTTCGTTTGATTTAGTAATTATATTTCGTCCTCGTTCCGTAAATAAGAACAAACGTAGATGTTTAAAGCAAATAATTGTGCAACTGCAGACGAAACAAAAAATTTAAGGCTCTATAAGAGGAAAATAAGAAGTTCCAAAATCTTATTTTAACGAATATAATTCGAATAAGAAACACATTCGAAATACTGGTATGAATTCAACAGCGGAAGAACAACATTAACATTATATAATAGTAAACATAAAACATAACATTATAACATCAAACAACATTAAACTAGGGAATAACCCTAAGGTATTTAAGAAAACAGAGTAACTAGTTAAATATTTAGTTAGTTCCTAAACTCAGAAATAGTTTACAACACTGGCATAATTTATCATAAGGAATAACTAAGGAATACTATTGTTAAGTGAAAATAATAATTAGTTATGTAGCTGGTTGATCTAATATGACCCTCGCATAAGCATAAGAATCACAAACCGGTCTCTTATAGAAGTTTGCAAATGTTTTTGAATGTCCGGTCCAACCAGCAGCTGACCTAATTATATCTATTGATACACCTCTACGATCCGCTAAGGAAGTAGATGCATGTCTTGTTGAATGAGATGCAAATTTAGAGGTATCAATACCAGCTTTAATTAAAACATTTCGAATCCAACGTGAAAGTGTTTGTGATGAGGCATTATGGTACGGTCTTTTAAAGGTGATTAAGAGCCTGTTACATACAGCATTTCTTACATCCTTCGTTTTTTCTATATAAAATAGGAGTGCTGGCGACACAAATATTTTCATCGCTTCTGAAAAAGGGTAAAGAAATAACAGGCTGGGCTTTACCTGGCCCAGAGGTTTTTATACGATCGCGAATAAATATCTGAACGCCTTGGGATGAAGATTTTATGTCATCAAGTTGAATAAGAGAAAGCGTTTGAACTCTTTGAGCTGAGGTAAGAGCTAACAATGTTGCTAATTTATATGATATTTGCTCTAGTGTGCAATCTCCATTAGTTAGTGTTCGCAAATAATCTAAGACAAGTGATGGATCCCAGATATTTTGATACTTCGGCAAACTAGGTCTCAAATGAAATACACCTTTAAAAAACCGTTTTACGCGAAAATCTTGTGCTAATGAGGGGCCTAAAACCTGGGCTAAAGCGGATCGATGGGAATTGAGTGTACCATATGACGCTCCCTTATTATATTCTTCCTGCAAAAACTCGAGGACAGTCGCAATTGAAGCAGTGAAGCAACTCTCATTTCTGGATTTACAGAATTGATACCATCGCTTTAAACCGGAATCATATTGTTTAACAGTAGATTCTGTAATTGAAGCAAGGCAGACCTCAATTGCAGACTTCGGCGTTCCTCTTAATTCTAAACCCTGCCGGATAAGAGACCTGCAACCAGGATAAGTTATGGCCATAAGGGATGTGTCTGAGATCTGTCAAAACATAAAAGAACATCTTTACTAGCCGGAAAATAAATTGGTGGCTTTTTAAGAAGAGATGTAAAAATGGGGTACCAAGGCTGTGTAGGCCAATGCGGCACAACTACTATACCTTGGGCCCTGTCTCTAATGATTTTATGCACAACTTTAAGTATTATTGAAAAAGGGGGGAAGGCATAAAAATGATAAGTACCCCAATTGACAGTAAAAGCGTCCACTTTGAATGCAAGAGGATCAGGATGCCACGAAATAAAAATTGGACATTTAGAGTTAATGCGACTAGTGAAAAGATCTATTTCTGGGATTCCAAATCTTGAAACAATTTCTCTGAAATATTTGTCGTTCAACTCCCATTCCGTCTCAGGATGTAACCTACGTGATTCTATGTCTGCAATTATGTTATCCTTACTGTTAATGTAAGACGCATATATAAATAAATTTTTGCTTTCACACCACTGCCAAATCTCACGACACAGTGAATTTAATTTAAAATATTGAATGCCTCCCATTCGATTTATATAGGCAATGGCTGTAGTATTATCAATGCGTAAGAGAATATTTTGGTTAGAAAGATGACCGGCACAACATTTTAAACCAAAAAATGCTGCCTTTAATTCTAAATAATTAATGTGTTCTTTCCTTTCTTCTAAGGACCAAAAACCATGAGATCTAACATTATTACAAAATATTCCCCAGCCCGTTAAGCAGGCATCTGAAAAAATTTCCAATTGGAAAAAATCCAACTTAATAGAGTTGGTACTATCATTTTCTATATGCGATAGCCACCACCTGAGATCGTTATATAACAGTGGAGAAATAGCCATAATTCTATCATAATTTCCATCTGTTCGCTTCAAGGCTAAAAATTTTTCTCTTTCCATTAATTTAGTATACAACCATCCATAACGAACCGCCGAGCATATAGAAATTAATTTTCCGATTATTTTGGCGAAAAAGCGTATCTTACAGCGCGTATTCCTTAAAAGATATCTAACATATCTTAGAAGTGAATCTTTCTTATCCTCCGGTATAGAAATTGACATATCTTGAGAATCATAAGTAAACCCTAGATATCGAACAGTCTTTGACGGAGTTATAACACTCTTTTGATAATTTATAAGAAAGCCCAATTTCTCTAGAAAATTGATAGTTAAGGAAACATTTTTCTGGCATTCATCAAAAGTTCTTCCCAATAATAAAAAATCATCAAGATACAGCACCGAAAGTAAGCCTTGTCCTCTAAGAAATGAAAGGACAGGTTTCATTAATTTGGTGAATACAAGAGGGGCACAATTGAGGCCAAAAGGTATGCAATTATATTCAAATAATTCACCATCAAACCTGAATCTTAAAAACTTCTTATAATGTTTATTAATGGGAACTAAATAGTATGCATGCTTCAAATCCAGGGTGGACATGAAATAATTTTCCTGAATAATATTGCATACTGTTCTTTGGTCTTCAAGCTTAAAATGTTCTGCTTTAATAAAGTTATTAAGAGATTTTAAGTTTAAGATTAAACGCTTTGAACCATCAGTTTTAGGAACTAGGAAAATACTTGATATGTATTCTCCTTTATAATGTGTGACTTTTTGAATAGCGCCAGAGGCTAATAACTCTTGAATTGATTCTCTTAAGGCTGACTTCTCTGAATTTGACCAATGCCTCTCCAAGGGTCGTACCTTTTGGATTGGTCTGGTGACAAAAGGAATTTTCAAACCAGAAATCCATGATAAAATATTTTTATCTTTAGTAATTTCTTGCCACATAGGTAAATAATTACGTAATCGACCAACTGTGCAACCCACCTCGCTCTGATCTATCGATTCTGTTTGTGGTATTGACGTACATCCTGTCGGCGACGACGATCCTGGTCCGAGGTTCTTCTCTGTGTTTGATGAGGCCTTTTTTGGAACGACTGAGAGGGATTTGGGATCTTTATCGGCCGCCCACCTCGAATGTTTCCCCTTTGTGTTCGACGAGGTGGACGGTAAAAGTTTTCCGGAACCTGTTTGGCAGGTTGTTTAAATGAGGTACTAGGTCTAGATACTCTAGTAGGTTTCAGGTCCAAACCAGATTTTTCAATATCCTTGGTAGCTTTTATTCGCTCACCGAGATCCTTGCCGAACAACCATCCGTCAGCAGACACATTAGTCAGAGTTTCTTTGAGATCTTTCCGTAAATTCAGTATCAATAAATCTCTACGGATTACCGAGTATTTGTGATAAAAATCTAAAAGTAATCTACTAGCATCACTAGCTAATTCAACATAAGCCAGGTTCCCCCCCCCCCTTCTTCAGACACAACTGCTGATGCTAGTTGACCCAATGCTGACAGTGCAGCTCCTATTTGGTTCTGAAGCCCATTGAGGTTTGAGTCTCTACGAGCTACTTGTTCATTAATCGCTGAGGCAACTTCTGGATTTATACGGGGGCATTTTAAAAGTGGGCAGTTTTCAGGAGGGGGATATTTTTTGAGCAAGGTATTGACGGAGGCCTCCCTTAACCCGTTGCTTAAAATAAATGACCATCTGCTAGTTAGATCCACATGAATGCTTGGTCCAAGCACGTCTGCAGATGGCTTTTCATCTCCCAGAAGAGCTAGTATACTAGCATCTAGAGTTGAACTTCCCCCATCTGTAAGAGAGGAACCATATTATATAATAAACGGTCGTAGATCTAAAATATGCCATAATATTTCAGAAAACTGATAACCAATAATTATGTGAAACAATACCATAATTGTACTGGATTGTCATGGCAATTTTGTGTAAAATATGTCATAATATTTCAGAAAACTGATAACAAATATGTGAAACAATACCATAATTGTACTGGAGTGTCATGGTAATTTTGTGTAAAATATGCCATAATATTTCACAAACAATCAAAGAAGTGCAGGGAAAATACACCATAGTATTTTCGAAAAATTGACAGCACAACTTGTAAAAAATACCATGCAAGGAAAATACACCATAGTATTTTCAAAAAATTGACAACAAATCTTGTAAAAAATACCATAATTATTTACAAAATAAAGTGTCATGATAGGTATTATTTGTAATGTAAAATATGCCATAATATTTTACAAAATTAAATCTAATGATTCGTAGATTCCCATCATGCCAAATTGTTCCAAAATACTCTCAATTCAGTACTAATTTAATTCAAAACAAACCTTCAATTGGAGTGGTGTTGGTTATGCATGAGCCGGCAACCTCGGAATCCACGGCATCAGCATTCCTGCCCGCAAAAGCTGATAACGGCACATCGTCGTCGTCTGAGTGATCGGGCGTGGTAAAAACATCACTCTGGGGGGATGGAGAACGGTTAGACCTTCTGCCCTTTGAATGGTGCTTCTTCAACCGCTTCTTCAATCTTGCAATTTTCCAAATGATATAATCATCACTGTCCGAGTCACTAAAATCAGGTCTCTTGCGCTTTTCTGACATCGCAAACAAAAAACTAGGCGGAGCACTATTATACGAAATTTCGGTCGGCAACGAAACGCGTTGTACAGCACGAAAACAGAGAATGGGACATGCACACGACGGTACCACCGACGTGGCCGGGTAGCGGGGTAGCGGACGGGGCGGTTTGTTTACTTTAAAAATTCGTGATGTACGGTGTGGAATAGAGAGACTACGTTTGTTCTTATTTACGGAACGAGGACGAAATATAATTAAAGATACATATGGGTAAATGTCAGAAATGATACCAAAACATATGCAGTTTGATTTTAATTACTGCTCAGCAACTTGGCAGGGATTAGTAAAATAACAATTTCAGGTTGAGTTGCACAAGTTACATTGCCCTGTTGTTTTTTTAGTTACCATGAGTTTTTAGTATGTGTTATATATATATTCTGAAGCGATCGTCAGTGTATTTTTGAATCTAGAACACCCGAGTATTTATGTCTTAGTTACCATTTTATCTCACTCATTCCCTAGTCAATATATTGTACCGTAAATGGAGATGAAAAACTACACTTTTTAATTATATGTATATAAATGTATACGTCAGTGAAATTATATGCGTACGTCCATTCTATTTGCTTATTACCATGTCTCGCTAGTCTCGTCGTCAAATCTTGAATGCCGTAAAATTTGGCACCATTTATCCCG